CTCAAGCAGACATATTATTGTCCTTATTTCATTGGTGAGGAAAACCACTTTTGAGTGTATCCACTATCGCTTGTTGCACAACAGATTACTCCAAAGCTTTGCACCCTAAAACAACTAATTTGTTTTCTTACAGTTTCTGAGGGTCAGAAATCTGGGAGTGGTTTCCTTAGCTGTTTCTGGCTCAAGTATCTCTTGATACTGCAGTCAAGATTCAGACCATGCTCTGGCATTTGAAAACTCAATGGGGCCAGAAGACCAGATTCCAAGATTGCTTGCTCATGTGGCTGTTGGGGGGAGGCCTCCTCACACAGTGTCATGGTTTGGATGTGGTCGGAGTGTGTCCTCTAAAGGTTCATGTGCTGGAGGACTGGTCTCCAGGGTGGTGATGTTAAGGCAATAGAGGTTTTAAGAGATAAAGCCCAGTAGAAGGCAGCTGGGTCATGGGGCTGCCATTTTGGAAGGATTAATGCAGAACTCATGGGACTGAATGGCTTCCTCCTGTCTCAGTATGTGATCTCTTCCACTATTGGATGCCAATTGCCACTAGGGCTACACTGTGCTCTTGAATTTCCAGAACTTCGACCTACACTAACCTCTTTTCCTTTTAAGGTACTCAGCATCAGGTATTTTGTTACAACCATGCAACATGAACTAAGACACATGGATTTCTGTGTAGCACTGCTTGACTGTTCTCACAACACAGTGACTGGCTTTGCCTTTGTGAATGACAGTGGGGAGAGAAAGAGAGTTTCAGAGAGCAGGGAGGAAGCCATAATGCCTTAAAACTTAGTCTCTATGGCCACACAATGTCACACCCTCCTTTCTGCACTCATTAGAAGCAAGTCGCTTGTCCCACACTCGAGAAGCAGGGCATTAGGCTGACCCACATGAAGAGAGAAGTATCAAATAGTTTGTGGACATACATTAAAACCACCATATCGATCTCTCTTCCTCTAGGGTCCAGACTCCTGCAAATACACTTAACCAGAATTGTAGAACAAGACCCTGGCAATTTGTACAAGTTGGCAACATCATCCACAAGGATTTAATGGGAGGAGAGAATGAGGGTAATGGCCAGAGACCGGAAGTGGGCAGACAGAAATATTTAATACATCTGTGATTTCAGCTGAGTTGATACTTGCTGGGGAAATCCTCTTCTTTATTCTCTTTGTGTGTTTTCTTTGTGGCTATGTGGGCATCTGGAACAGTCACCTATACTCAGCTTCTGCTGACCAGAAGCATATTCAGAAGACAGGAAGAAGGGCAATGGGAGGATGTTAGCTCATGGATACAAAATTTCAGCAATAAATCAGACTCACGAGCTTAAATATCACATGGCTTGTCTTATAGGAAAGGCTAGAGTATAAATAAAGAGGACAACTGTCGTAGTACACAACTGTAGCAGTGTGGAGGACAAAGAGATTACTCGGAGATGAGACTTAGTCTGAACACAGTGGTGCCCAGAGTGGCTGTCCCCAAGCAGGCAACCATCGTGAGGGGGTCTCCAGGGAGTGGCCCCACACATAGAACTTGCTGGCTTTTATCTAGAATAAAAGAAGAGAAAAAACCAAGAAAAACAGCTTGGAAATGGAGCTGTCTCAAGGCTAAGCAGTGTGTTGGGGTAGGGGGAAGGACAGTGGCCAGACCCAACACGCTTCACTGGTGTGAACTCCTTGTTGTTTTCGGACTGTGCCGGGCTCAGTCCGTGGTGTACAGACCTATATGTGCTTCGGCTCCACCGTCCTTCCTGAAGCATAAGCAATCACTCCAGGGCCTGCATGCTTCTGCCCCAGGTCCTTTCCACAGTTTAACCTTTCTCTCCTTGGCCAGGTCCCCCACACAAAACGACAGCTAGATAATGGGAACTAGGGAGAGAGATCTTTTTCCGAGGGGAAGGGGATCAAGGGGTGGAGAAAGTAGGGGTGCAGGGGAGGGAAAGGGGATGAGAAAAGGAATTTTATGCACGTGCACCAACTCCACACAAGGAGTGTACTCATGTTGTGCTGCGAGCATGTCCCAGTACAAAAGTTAAAAATGAAATTAGTATCACAAAGACAATTTCATCTAAACAGGAGGGATGAGTCCAAGCGATCTACTGTACAATAGTGGTGACTATAGTTCGTAACTGTGTGTGCTCCATAGACAGTATTGGCTCTGGTTATTGGATGCCGATAGCATTCCATCTCCTCAGTACCCCAGAGGAATCTACTTGAAAATTACCAAGACAGTAGCTTTTAAGCATCCTCACCACAAAAGTAAAACAATAAGCCTGTGAGGTGATTGATATGTTACTTAATTTAAAACATGGTGTTGTATACCATGAACATACACAATATTGCTTGCCAATTTGAAAACTAATAAAAGGAGAACAGATAAATCTCATATCCTAAAAAAATAATAAAAAAGGAACACATGGATTTCATACCCTAATTAAGGGATGAAAGATAAAAAATAAACCAGGGGTGAGAAACCACCAGATCAGAGCGGGTCCTTCTGTGTTTTGGGAAACAGAATCCTGGGGCTGTGGACACAGGGGTAGGACCCTTCTTCGGACAACAGCTTCCTGTGAACGTAATAGGCTTTTGCAAGTGTTGAACTTGTTCCTGCATTGTATTTCCTGCGAAGTGTGTTTGACTCTTACTTGTTCTTCAGGTCTCGGCTTAGACATCAGCTCCTTTGGGAAGCCACTCTCTCACCCAACCTGGCTCACATTTTCTCTGGCCAAGTGATAAATCCTCAGTTCCAGGTTGTTGTGTCCTACAATGAGGAGAGGAAGCCTGCTTTTTCCAAGCACGTGCCTGATAAACAGTGTCAACCCTGATGATTAAACCCAAATGATGTTCATACTCCCAGCACACCCCGGGGGTCGGAAAAAGGGATCTACCAAGACCCTGTTTCAAAAAAGCATTAGCTTGTCCTGCTGCATGGTGAGAGCTTTGCTACACCTCCTCCACAGTCTTGGGGACAGGGATGAGCTGCAGCCCTGTAGGAAACTCAGACTCAGTGCAAGTCACTGGGACAGTCACCTTGGGAATGTCTTGCAGAGTTTTTAAGCCCACATCTGTCGACTCCATCTATTCCCCTAATAGCCAGGATGTGGACGGATCATCCCTGGGCCAGGCTCTGTTCTAGGCTCATCACAGGCACCAACTCCTCAGAGGCTTATGGCAGCCCCAGGACATAGAGCTCGCTGTGAAGCAGCCCTGTTGCAGATGAGAAAGTGGAGGTGCAGTGGCGATGCGGATCCACACTGAGCTCATCCTCGTGTGCTTCTGTGGCCCACACTGCAGCTCTGCTCGTCTTCCCCTCCAGTGTGATTATCTGGGTGTTCATGATGGCTCTTATCTGCAGCCTTGCGAGACAGGGTCCCTTAATGCAGAAAAGGGAAGTTCTCAATGAGCTAACTCACTTACTTTCTTTCTTTCTTTCTCTCTCTCTCTCTCTTTCTTTCTTTCTCTTTTTTTCTTTCTTCTTCCTTCCTTCCTTCCTTTTGTGAAGGTAATGCTAGCGAAGGCATTTTACCTTGCACAGAGCAAAAGGAGAAATGCAAAAACAAGTGGGCATTTTCTTCCCAAGAACTTGGCTCTGGTCTCCGCCTCTCTTTTATAGCTTGTGGTAGATGCAGTCGGTACCTGGCCACCTCCATGACCTGTAACACATCCGTATACCTAGCCGGGCATCTCACATTCATGGACTATCATTATCACCACCATTTTTGTGATACTGGCCATTGAACTCAGGGACTTTTCATCTACCCACACCTCCAGCCCTTGCTTGGTTTTTGGAAACAGGGTCTGTCCAAACTGCTAGTTTGCCCAGGCTGGGCTCTAATTTGCCTTCCTCCTGCCTCAGCCTCCCGCAGTGCTGGGATGTCTGGTGTGCACCACCCGGCCCGCCTTGTATTTTATTACGAAGGCTATCAACTGGAACCAACTGTCTGCTTGGAGACCAGACCCAAAGCATCACAGAACTGGTGACATTGGGAGCAACTCATTCAGTGACAGACAGCAGGTGGAGAATACATACTTCAGTTCCCGCTCGCCTAAATTGGGGTGACTCTGGGGAGTATGCTCTGTGCTGCCTCCCTCAAACTGCACACTTTGCTCTATAACACATCTACGCCGCACCTTTCCCTTCTCTGTCTCAAGTCTGTCTTGTCCAGGTGGCATTTCCTGGGGTTGCCTGATAAATTTTCTTTACTGGGATCCTTCTCTCGGGGTCTCTGTCTGAGGGACCCTAGCTGATACATCACTAGACCTCCATATTTATGAGATGAGAGGCATGTGCCTGTGTGTGCGTGGATGTGTGCGTGTGTCGGGTTGGGGACTGGGGATGGGGTGGGTGTTTGCTAGGCAGTGACTGGGGAGGAGTCAACAGCTGGAGGAAGGCGAAATTCTCCTAAACCTGGAGCCCTGGGTTTGAATGTTGGGTCCAGGTGATCCTGGACATGTGACATTTCCCCTAAAAGCCAGTTTCCTTTTTTGTGTGTAGGTGGGGTGTGGAAAGGGGAATCCCAATTTTACAAGGTTGACATGATGATAAAATTCAATTTTATTGGCCTGGCACATGATAATTAAAATTTGATATGTGTTTTTATAGGGACAGCAAGGAAGAGATCCTCAATTGGGGGGTTTGTTTGAAGAGCATCAGGAGGTAGAAGTTTATTTATTGGGTGCAGTGAAAGAAGGGGGTAAAAGATGGGGAGGAGAGAGGGAAAGAGTAGGGAAAGAGAGAGGGAAGGACAGGGGAGAAAGAAAGAAAGGGAGAGAAAGAGAGAGGTGGGGAGGAGGAGAGAGAGGGAGAAAAGTGTGCACAAGCAAGTTGAAAGGGAAAAATTAGGGGTTTGCCACAAGGCCCACCTCTGCTGAGTTGTTCCCCTCTCTGGTGGCCACAACTCAGCAGAAAGGGCTGTGATGTTTTCTCTGGTCACATTGAGCAACTCTGGTCCCACCCTTTCCCTCCCCCATACGCAAAAGTTTTAAAGAAAAGGTTCCCCTCTGAACTACAGAGCTGCAGCAAGATGCGGGGCTCCAGCCTGCTGCTTTTCTGGGGTGAGTGTGGGAGGGAGAGCGGAGGTGTGGGCTGGGAACAGACTGCAGGGAAAAGGGAGGGAGTGGGAGCAGAGGGTCCCAGCAAGAGGGCATCCTTCTAGGGTGGGGACAGAGATCCCCTTCACTAAGGGACCTTGGACAAAGTCCCTGGACCCAAAGGATCCCATCGGTCAGGGCAGGGTTTCTCAGTAGTTCTTGGTTTGAGATGGGTTTCCTGAGACCTGCTCAGTTCTAGGCACTGAGAGCACAGCAGTCAACAGGCAGACAGGGCTGTTTCCAGTGTCCACTGGGAGCACAAGACTGGGTGGAGCAGACAGAAAAGGAGCCACAGTCCTAGTAGCCATGCACCCTGCACTGCTGTAAGTTCCATAACCACAGAATATATGCAGTCTTCACAAAGTCTATATGTTGTTGGATCACGATTAGTTCCACTTTACAAAGGAGAAAACCAGGGCCAAAGAGATGAAATTACTTTCCCAAGACTACTCTGCCAATAATGAGCAGAATCAGGAGGTGGGGTGAGGTAGTCTGGCTGCAGACCTGCCCCAAATGAGAACAACACAAAGGAACTTCAGGTAGTGAAGAGTGCCGTGAAGGAAGTCATAAGAATGCAACTAGAACCTGTATACATTTAAGTTGTTTGCAGGAAAATGGACACACACTGAGACCATAGTGCTAAGTGAAATAAATCAGACAGAGAAGGTTAAATATCACATAGTGTCTTTTATATGAAAAACTCGAAATATAAATAATTTAAAGGACCATACATAAAAGATGGATGATAAGAAACAGGGAAGTAGATGTAGTATATGCAAATATGTATTATTAGAAAAAGAAAGTTAAATATCATATTTTCTTCTATATGATACTGAAAAAGAAAGAAAAAGAGAAAGAAAGAAAGAAAGAAAAAGAAAGAGAAAGGAAGAGAAGACAGGAATCCAGGAGGAATTTCTGGAGACAAGGAAGGGAATAAGCAGGAGGGGAGAGGAAAGGAAGAGAGGAGTAATAGAATTAAAATTAATTAAGATATGTTAAATGCTTGTATCAGCTTCCCAAACTAAACCTCACCATCATGTACTATTATCACCCACTAATAAAATAAAAAAGAATTAAAAAAAGAACGTGACTGGGGATTATGTTGAAGGAGGAAGTCAGGGGAGATACGTGTGAGGGGGCCAATATTTGTGCTGAGACTTAAACAGTGAAGTGGAGCCTTCCTCTGTGATTTCTTGTTTCTCTTCCCCAGGCATTCATCTGTCTTGCTTTTGTCTGTCTTCCATATTGCCGGTTTTCCTTGTATATCTTGCAAGTTTTTTACTGGTTCCAATTTAAGATGGGAGAATTGTTTTTTGGTGCTATTAGAGATCTAACCCACGGCCTGCACACTGATCTACATCTACTTCTTTAGAAGGACCAAGTGGCTAAAGTATAGGAATTCAGAGTTGTTTCTTTTGGGTGTCCATGCTGACATCAGCCATCCTTTCTTCTGTTCTGAGGTTAATCAGTAAAGACTTGTGATAATGATGATGTCAATGGTGATGAAGAAGATGATGATGGTGATGAAGATGATCATGATGAGATAGAGGACTTAAAAGATTTAGGGCTGCATTGCCTTTAAATATCTTTAGAAATTCATAACCCTAGCTTCTCATGAAATTTTACTTCATAGATAGAGGCTGCATATCTATATAATTTAAATGTATATCAATGTGTCTTATATATAAAAGTAAGATTTTTCATCTCTTCTTGAGAACCATTTTGCTCCGCCAATGGAAAATATCTTTTTTGAAAATGCACCTTCAGTGTATGTTTTGAAAAACATTTTATCAGTGCATGTTAACAGTACATGATTATGGGGTTTATTTTGGGAGGTTGGCACATGCATTTAACATATTAATGAATTTGAATCCCCTCCCTTTCCTGTCCTTTCTTCCCCCCTTTCTGCTTGTCCCTTTCCCTGTCTTCAGAAGTCCACCACCTAGTTCCTTGTTCTCTGTCCTTTAATTATTTACTTGTTAATTGATGTATTTTTAGATTTCTCATCTAAGAGGAAAGGTAAAATACAATATTTAATTTTGAGTCTGGCTACATGATGGTTTCTAGTTTCATTCATTTTCCTGTAAATGACATGATTTTGAAAATCTGCTGAAACTATTTTTGTAATTGAAAAGATAAATGATGGAGTCAAAAATGAAGCTAGACAATTCTTAATTGTATTTTTATCTTGTTAATTGGGTTCTTCACTTCCAGGATTTCTGACTTCTTCTTTCTTTGTCATCTGACTTCCTATCACAGACTTCATTCAGATCATGAATTGTTTTCCTGATTTCATTGAATTGGCTGTTTTCCCTTGCACTTCACTGAGTTTCCTTAAGATCATTATTTTGAATCCATTTTGGGCATTTCATCTATTTCCTTTGCTTTGGGGTCTGTTAGAGAATTATTGTTTTCCCTCAAAGGTGTCATGCACTCTTACCTTTTCACATTTCTTGTGTTCCTTAGAGGATACATAGTGTTCCTTGTGATGAAATAGTTTCTACTCCAATTTTGTGAAGTATCTTTCATAGGGAAAGACTTCACCCTATAGACGGGTACTAGGGTATTGGTTGTGTGGAGTGCTTTGGTTTTGGGTCAGGGTGGGTGAAGCATTCGGTTTTGGGGGGAGTTGCTGGGGATTGAATCCAGACCTCTATGCATTCCAGTCAAGTACTCTACCCTCAGCTCTACCACAGCCCTTCTCAGAGGTTCTTTATCCATAATCAAGTGGTATTTGAGTGCCTCGGAGGCCTAGGTTCTAGGCATTGGTGAAGAGACTGGTATAGCTCCACTGAGGACAAAGCCACCAGATGGGCCAGCTCTCAGCCCCTGGGCTGGATGTCCATGCAAGAAAGAATTTCTGAATTTGAAGACAATTTTTAAAAATGAAGAGAATTATGGGACTTAATCAAACAATTATTTGCATCATGGGAGTTCCAGAAAGAGAAGGGATGGGAGAAGGCACATGAAACTTATTTAATGAAATACTAACTGAAAACATCCCAATTCTTGGAAGATATGTGGACATCCAGATCCAAGGTACTCAAAGATCCCCAAATTGATTCAGTTCAAAAAGGTCTTTTCTGAGGCATATTGTGGTCAAACTGTCAAAAGTGAAAGGTAGAATTCTAAAAGCAGCAAGAAAATTCTAAATGTAGCAAGAAGTGTCAAGTCACATATAAGGGAATCTCAGTTAGACTACAAGCAGATTTCTCAGCAGAAACCTTACAGGCCAGTACTGCAGGGGATGATATATTCCAAATCTTGAAGGGAAACAGCTGCCAGCCCAGAACATCAAACTCAGCAAGACTATCCTCTTCCTTCGACAAGCATAGCTGAGGGAATTCATCATTACTAGACCAACTTGGCAAATAATGCTATATTATGCTATATTATAGAGTGCTATAACTGAAAGGCAAAGGACAGTGATGCTTCTGTCATGGGAACATGTGTAAGCATAAAACTCACCTGTGCAGGTAGGTTCATAAGCAAAACCAGAACCAGTACAGGTAAATTTATGATGAAACTCAGAACCCTCCAGTCACGTGACGTTGGCATATTCTTTTGCATATTGCAAAATCACTAGAAGAGAGGATTTGAAATGTTCTCAAAACACAGAAATGATAAATGTTTGGAGTTCAGGTTATGATAAATACTCCGATTTCATCATTATACAGTGTGTATATGTGTCAAAACAACAGGCAATGTCCTCACAAATATGTTCAAGATATGATAAAAATGGGCAATATCCCACCAGGGATTTAGCTCAGTGTTTTCACTGCCTGCTGCGCAAGTGCAAGACCCGAGTTCAATCCCTGGTACCAAAAAAAAAAAAAAGGGCAATATCTACATAAAAGGTTTTTATTACACACTGCCATGAATCTCCCTCAAAATACTCCAGCCCACTCTGAACACACTTATCCTGTTATTTTTGCCACTTTCTGAAGCAGTTCTAGAAGTCTTCTTTTGTGTCATTACTTGCAGTGTTGTAGCTGCCTCAATGTCCTGAGCTGATTCAAAATGTTTCCCTTTCATGGTCATTTTGACTTTGGGGAAGAACTAGAAGTCACACAGCGCCAGATCCAGTGAACAAGATGGATGAGGACACCGTCATGTTTTTAACACACCTGCCTTTCATTGGATAGCACTCAGAGTAGCATTTGCTCTATTTTGTACTTTTAAAAATTACATCTTATAAAGACACTCATGAAAGAGCACTTCCAGAACCACTTCAGGAAGTGGCAAGAATGATGGGATAAGTGTGCTGGAGGGAAGGGGAGAGTATTTTGAAGGAATTTGTGGCAGTATATCTTTTACAGTCATAAATTTATTTATTTAAGTATTCAGTATATGTTCTATATATTTTGATCACACCTTGTACAACTCCAAAAACCAAACAAAAATAAAGTGCACGACATTGAGGCCATACACTTAAGTGAAATAAATAGGACATACATATGTAAATACCAAATAGTTTCTCTGGTGTGAGAAACTGAAAGTGTAAATAAGGATCAAAATGTATAATTGATAAAGTGAAATAGGAAGAAAAGGTCCAAAGGGGTAGGGGAAGTGGGAGGAGTAGGGGAAAGGAAAGAAGGGAAAAGAAAAAATATGAGAAAAGGAAAAAAATGGAAACAAAGTCTGTTTAAATAGGGAGGAGTGGAGGAGGTGAAGGGAGGGCAGGGGAATGGGGGAAAAAATAAGAACCAAGATATATCATGTAAAGGTAAAAATTCCCAATGATGAATGTAACTGTATTGTATACCTAAAGTGTACCAATAAATTTTTTTTAAAAGTGCATGAAACCACGAGAGGCTGCTGTGAAGATTATGAGGAATAGTGTGTTTGTCCATCAAGTAGTTTTCTCATCTAATGCCATCAAACCTGTTTTTGTGAGGCCACATTAGGGGGAATTGTGTAGGCCTCTTGGTGGTTCATGACGTCTTTCTGTCCTCTCTGCAGTGTGTTGTCGTGTATACAGCTGGGAAACTACAACCACATCGGGTAAGTTTGCTGAAGAGAATCCATATGTCCGGTGTTTCTTGTGGAGGAGAGCTCTTTTGTTCTAGGAGTTGGAGCCCTAGCTGGACACTTTCTGGAAATGAGTTACAGGCAGAAAAAGGGCTAATATGCAGATTTCTTGATTCTATGTCAATTCTTTTTCCTTTGTGCCCTGAAATTACTGTGTGACCACAGGCAAGTTACATAACCTCTCTGATCTTCACTTTGCTCAACTGTGAGACACAGATAACAATGGTTCCTACCCCACATGGTTGTTGCAAAACTTCTCCTTCCCTTATATTACGTCCAAAGTTCTTTCTAGACCACAGCTTAATGAAAGCTCTGTTTTCCATCCCTCCTATCCTCACTCTTGAACTAGTAATAGAAACTTGAGAACATCTTTTGCTTTTTCATAATCATTTGCTTTCAAGACTATTGTCTTGTTGGATTCAAGAATTCAACTTGAGGAATCTCCACACTGATTTCCAAAGTGGTTGTACTCATTTAGATTCCCACCAACAATGGAGGAAGGTTCCTTTTTCTCCACAGCCTCACAAGCATTGTTGATTTTTGATTTCTTGATGATAGCTATTCTTTCTGGAGTAAGATGGAATCTCAGTGTTGTTTTGATTTACATTTCCAATGGCCAAAGATGCTCACCATTTTTCATGTACCTATTGGCCATTTGTACTTCTTCTGAGACATGTCTATTCAATTGCCCATTTTTGATTGAGTCTTTAATTTTGGATGGGGTCTGATATTTTTGAGTTCCCCATATATTCTAGATATTAGTATTTGTTATGTTTCACAAACATAGACTAATAAAAATATGTAAATTGAAAAAAAACCAATACGGTCATTTAAGTTTGAATGTTACTCTTTTGCTTTCTGTGTTAGTTACCTTTTTTGTTACTGTAACAAATACCTGAGCTAATTGACTTATAAAGAAGAAAGGTTTGTTTTGGCTCACAGTTTGAGAGGTTTCAGTCTATGATCAGTTGGCCCTGTCGCTTTGACCTCTGGTGGCACATCACAGTGGGAGTGTCACGGAGCAAAGTCACTTACCTCAGGTCTGGAAAGCAAAAGAGAAAATGGCAAAGAGGAGAAGAGCTGGATCCCATAGTTCCCTTTGAGGCCATGCCCCCAGTGACCTATGACCTCCTACTAGACTCTGCCTCTTAAGATCACATTATTCCCAATAGCTCCAAGCTGGGAACCCAGTGTCAAAATGTGGGCCTTTGAGGGATATGTGAGATCCAAATGATAACCCTGTCATTGTGCATCCACTGTAAAACACCTTCATTTTTCCTGATCAAGATGAAATAAGTTGGTAGAATGGGGATTTAAAAAGAGAAAATCATATCAACATATTTCCAAAAAGGTCATCCTTGATAAAATAACTATCTGCGTTAGTCAGTTCTCCTGTTGCTGGGACAAAATACCTGAAGCCTGCTACTGAAAGAAAGACAGGTTTATTTTGGCTCACAGTTTCAGTGGGTTCAGTCCATGGGATGCAGAGGAAACTGTTGGCCACATGGCAGCCAAGAAGCAGAGGAAGAAGGGAGGGCCAGCGATGTGAATGCACCCTTCCAAGTCACACCCCAGTGACCCTTTGGGCCAGGCCCCCACATCTGGACGTGAGACTTTTGGGGAACACTTAGACCTAAAGCATAACACTGTCCTTTAGGGCTTGTGATGGTCTCTACCTATAGGATTCGGCCCCACACTGTGGTGGTAAGAGGTAGGCTCTGGTCATTCCGGGCTCATCACATCTCAGGGACAATGCGTATTGTCATGGAGTACTCAAGCAGGCATTTCAATACATTCCCTAGGCCTTGAGTTTCCATGAAAGAGAGAATAAGAGAACAAAGGGTAACGTGAGTGAAGACCCAGGCCACACTTAGAAAGATACTCCAAACACAGTGAGCACTTCATGATATTAGCTACCTCCTGCATCTTCTTGTCTTCTTCCTCTTTCTCTCCACCTCCTCTTCCGCTCTGTCTTCCTCTTCCTCCCCTCCTCTCCTCCTTCTTCTCTGCCTCCTCCTCTTCCTCCCCCTCTGCTCTCTCTTGCTCCTGTCCCCCTGCCCTACTCCTTTTCCTATCACTCCCCCCCATCTTTCCATCCTTCTCCCTCTTCCCTTTCTCCTCCCACTCTTTCTCCTCTTTTTCCTCTCTCTCCATCCCCTCTTATTCCTGCCCCTCCTCTCCCTCTCTCTCCCTTCTCCTAATCCTTCTCTACCTCCCTTTCCACTCCTCTTCCTCCTCCTCTTCCCTTCTTTCCTTGCTCTTTGTCTTCCTCTCCCTTCTCCTCCTCTTTCTTCTCTGGGGTGGACAGGTAGAAATTGTCCAGTTCTGATTGGCTGGCCTGCAGCTGAATAGAACTGGTAGGTAGTGAGTCCCCAGGACTCTGCCCCAGCACCTGTCCACCCTAATGCACTCTCCTCTTCCTCTTCTCATGTGTAGCATAAGCTCGGGCAGGTCACACAAGCCCTCTGGGGCATCCATGATGGCTTTGCTGAGACTTGGGAGTTTCCTAGGATGCTGAGTGTTCCGTGCTAAAGCCAGAAAAGACCCAGGCAAGTTGAGATCCTACCTGGAAGCGTTTTTAGGGGGACTAGAGAGAATGCATGGGAGGGACCTGATGCTTTGAAGGTACCTGTGAAGCAGAAGCTCTTGTTACGTATTTAAAAGTTGCTGTTCCTCCCCAAGTCCCTTTCTCTGCTGCTGTCAGTTAATGATCATCTTTAAGTTGTTTTGCTCAAGGTTGAGGATTGTGTGTGTGCCTCAGATGGATTTCTGAGATGGTCTCTGCTCTGGCCTCCCAGCTCCTTAGCCTTCCAGCAGTAGCCAAAGGTGACCATGAACACCTGAGTCAGGTTCCTCCTCTGCCCACAGCCCTCATGGCTCCCACCTCCTTCAGAGTCAAAGCCCAAGTCCTCCTAGGACACGCCCTGCCCCTGCCCTGCCTCCCCTGCCCTGTACCTCCCCTCCCTCCCTCTGTTCCAGCCACGTGGCTTCCCTGTTTCTCTGTCATTCCCGGCATAGTCCTGCCCCAGGGCCTTCTCACCCAAGGCTTTGAGTGCTTTTGCCTTACACAGGCACATGACACCCTCCCTCACTTTCCTTAAGTTCCTGTTCCTTCATTATGTCTCATTGACTTCCCTGTTTTCACCACTGTCTCCGGGCTGCACCTCTCTGAGGCTACAGCTCTATGAGACTGGGATATTGTGTGTCTGGTCCCGCTGCTGGAGCTGTCGTATCTAGAGGAGCATGGCATATTGTCAGCTGTTCGTATGAGCTGGGAGAAACAAAACCAATAATGATACATGATTTATTATAAAGAATCACAGCTTGACAGAGGCCCGGAAATCCCAAGATCTTCTGGTTGACACTGCAAGCTGGAGATTCAGGAGAGCTGGGGATATAGTTTTAGTCCAAAGTCTTAGAACCAGGAGATCCAGTGGTGTCGTTCAAGCCCACGGGATGGCAGGCAAGAAAAAAGCCAGCGTTCCAGTCTGATGTCCATTGTGCAACAAGCATTTCTTTGCATTCAGGGAAAAAGTCTGCTTTTTTGTTCGCAACTGATTGGACGAGGCCCACCCATGTTGCAGGGGGCCATCTGCTTTAGTCCCCCCACAGTTTCAATGTTAACTTCGTCCCAAACACCCTCACAGATCTCAGGATAATGATTTTTGGTTTTGTACTGGGATTGAACCAAGGACCTTCACGCTGAGCTATATCCTCGGTTCTTAAAATTTTTTTTGTTTTATTTTGAAACAAGATCTTGCTAAGTCTCTAAGTTGCCTAGGCTTGTTATGCTCCTGCCTCAGCCTCTCAGAGTGCTAGGATGACAAGTGTACATTCTTTTGGATCTTTAAGGAAAATTATAGTATGTTATGGATGTGGGTAGTAAAGATGACTGAATCTACATTACCTCAGGGATCTGAAAAGCTTACTCTTTTCTTTGGTAACAAAAGTCCAAATGCTTTATTTGATCTAGATAGTAACAGAGAACATAGATAAAGGGTGATATTTAAAAGGCACAGGAAAAAATTGAATAATTAAAAAAAACTGCATTGCCTGACTTGCATATCAGTTCCCTTATCCTCTAAGACTTGCATTTGATCAAAGAGATATTGTTTTTCTCCTCTCTCCCTCCCTTTCTTCATTTCTTCCTTCTTTTCAGTACTGGGGCTCATACTCAGGGTCTTATGCATTCTAGGCAAGCATGCTACCACTGAACTGCACACCAGCCCTTTTGAGGTTTACATTCTGAGATACGGTCTCCCTAAGTTGCCCAGGCTGGCTTTGAACTTGTGATCCTTCTGCCTCAGCCTCCCAAGTATCTGGAATTCTAGATGTGCACCACTGTACCCACCTTATTGTTTTTCTTTATGATGATAAACTTTACACTTGTCCCAACTTAACTTTTCTTCTGAAAACTATTTGTGTCCTATTTTTTAAAAAGATGTGAGATCTTTCTTATAGCACTTTTGTTTTAAAGGGGGTCTACTGAGACTGTTGGAAGATATTTTTGAGAAAGTATTATTTTGATTGACACCCAAGGATGGATAGATTGAAGTTGCCCAAGCAAAAAAAATAGCAAGTGGGGGCAGAAGGTATATCTAGCAGCCAGAGCAGTGTGTGCAAAGGTCCTGAGGCCAGGAGTTTAGAGAACTGAGTGAGGAGGTGTGGCTGATGAGACAGGTCAGGAGATGAGCAGGAGAAATTGGCAGGAGTCCAGTCACACAGAACTGGGTTGTTGTTCCAGTTTGGGGAGGGTTTGAGGTATGAAGATTTGAGCTAAAGGAAGGGAGTAATGGGGTGTTGGCATCATCACTGCCTGCTCCCCACACCTGGGCATTAGCGGGTTTTGTTAGCATAGCTTTCCAAGTCAGTCCAGAAGTTCTCATTCCTCACTGCTTCCACCTGGGTTGCACCCAGCAACCTTATTCACCTGGACAAGAAAATTCTCCTCCTTCCCGGTCCTGCCTCTGTCCCTCTATGGTTTATCTTCCAACCAGTGGCTGGAGGAATCATGTTAGGCCAAGTCGTGCTTCTCCTCTGCACAACACTCTCCCATGGCTCCCAGCTCTCTGATAAGAAATCAAAGTTGTACAATGGTTAGCAGATCCTGTGGGATGTGTCCCCCCCCCGCCCTCCCCTCCTTCCACAATCCTCACCCATCCTTCCTACACTGGCTTCCCTGTTACTCTATGAAAAATCAGGTATGGTGGTGCCTCAGGGCCTTTGCACTTCCTGTTCCTTTTACCTTAAATAGAATTATACAGCTCACTCACTTAAATCTTTCAGGTTTCTGCTCAAAAGTTACCTTCTGAGTGAAGCCAAAATGGGACTCTCTGTTTAAAGTTGTGTGTCTCTATCCCTCCACTCCCCACACTCCTATCCTTTCCTTTATTCCTTTGGGCATCACCAAATGCTCTACAAAGTTGGGTTTTTTTTACTTATTTATTGCCTCCTTCATGCCTCTCTCCCTCCTGTTCCCCAACCAGAACAAAAAATTCATAAGGGCACACATTTTCATTCATTGCACACATTTTTACCAGGCACTGTTCTCTGCAGCAATAAAAACACACAGATCCTTGGCTTCCAGAATCTCATAGTCAGAATGACAGACTCAAAAAACAGCCAATTATAGAAGTTTTTTCTAAGAAAATGCTTGGAAATTTATTCTTCTCCCAGGGGGACCTGCTTCCTTTCCTGTAGCAGTTGTGAAAAGCATGCATTTTTGGATTTTGAAGGACCTAACTTTGCTGCTTACCAGCTGTGTGTCCTTGGGCAAGTCACTTAACCTCTCTGAGCCTTGCTCTTTTACAACTGTATACTTGGAATTGCATTTATTCTCATGGCCACTATAACAAACTATCATGCACCTGCTGGCTTAAAGCGACAAAAATTATTATCTTGCAGTTCTGAGATTAGAAGTCCAAAATGAGTCCTGGTGTTGGCTGGGCTTCATTCTTCCTGGAGGCTCTCAAGAAGAGTCTGCTGTCTTGAGTAGCAAGGTTCTAGGGTCTTCATGGTACTTGATTCAGCGTGCTAGGTTGCTGCCATAACAAATAAGCACACTGAGCCGATGAAGACAACAGAAAGTTCTTTCAGTTATGGAGGCTGGAAGTCTAAAGTTAAAGGGTTGGAAGGGTCATTCTTTCTCTAAAGCCTGTAGGGAGGAATCTGTCCCATGCATTTTTCTTAACTTCTGATATTCTGGCATTCCCTGCTGTTCCTTGGCTTGTAGACGCATCCCTCCAGTCCTTGCCTGCATTATTACATGGTCTTTTCCTTGGCCCTGTCCTATTTCCCTTCCCTTCCCCTCCACCTCTTTCTCTCCCTCTCCTCCCCCTCCTCCCCTTCTCCTCCCTGCCCCCCCCCCAGGGTCTCCCTATGTAGGCCAGGCTGACCTTGAACTCACTAAGGAGCCCAAGTTAGCCTCAAACTTGCAGCAATCCTCCTGCCTCGGTCTTTCAGAATTTCAGGGGTGCCACACCACACCCAGCTTCTCTTCTCTTCTTGTGAGGACACTAGTTATATCAGTTAAGGGGTGCTCTATTAAAATACTACTTGATCTAGGGCTGGGGATTTAGCTCAGTGGTTACGCTGCCTGTCTCTAAAATACTACTTTATCTTAACTTACATCTTAATTACACTTGCAAAACCCCTATTTCCAAATCAGACTGCATTCACACATGCTGGGAGTTAGGGCTTTAATGTATCTTTTGAGGACACAGTTTAATCCCTAAGGGTCGCCTCCACCCTTTGCCCGTTTCCTAACAGCTCCGTGTTTTGCTCTGATCGTGTCCATTCTTCCCTCTCTGTGATCCAGACAAGAATGAGTGCTTAGACACCACCACGTGCCCGGCGTTTGCCACCTGCACCAACACCGTGGGAAGCTACTACTGCACTTGCAAACAAGGCTTTCTGGCCACCAACGGACAGAGTCACTTCAGCAGCCCGAGAGTACGCTGTGAAGGTGAGTTCACACCTCAAACCTGCTGGCAGTTGGCAGGAAGGTGAGGTGGAAGCTGGCTGGGTGTTGGGTTGTATGAGGCAACTTGACTGGACACAATAGCCAACACTCATGGCTTGGAGGAGGAGGAGTTTGATTTTGCTCAGGTTTTAAAGAGATTCCATGGTTGGCTGGCCCCAAAGGAGGTGGAAGGGCCTGGTGGAGCAAAGCTGCTCGGTTCAAGGGGGCTGGGAAACAGTACCAGGAGGAAGGGGTGAGGAACCAAATAAAGACACCCAGAAGTGGCTCCGCCAACCCCCGGGGGGATCCCAGTGCCAGTCAAGTTGACACCCCACCTTCATCGCCACACAGATGTAGGAACACTGCCCCCAACAAACACCTCAAAATGGCTGCCTTTCCCCCTGCCCTTTCCCCTTCCTTCCTTTCTCCCTCCCGCCTTCCTTCTTTCTTTCCTTTTTCATTTCTTTCTTCTTTCCCTCATTCCTCTATACTTCCCTCCACCTCTCCTTTCCTTTCTTCCTTTCCTCCTTCACCTTTCCACCCTTCCCCTCCTCACCTTCCCCCTCTTATTTCCTTCCCTCCTTCTTTTCTTCCTTCCCTCATTCCTTCCTTCCTCCCCACCACCCATCCATCCCTCCCTCTTCCTTCTTCCTTCCTTCTTCCCTTCCTCTTATCATTCTGCTCATCTCCTTTTTCTGATTCCTGGTTACCATAAAAGTTCAAGATGGCTTCCTCATGGTGCAGTGGCTGCGTTTCACAACTGAGCATCTCAAGAGAGGAAGGCGGAAGTGCACGGTATCCTGACAACCAGGCACGTTTGCTGCCGCAGATACAACATGCTCAGATTCAGGAGGAGGGAGCACAGACCCCAGCACTTTGTGGAAAGAGTGGGAAAGATACTGCTTTAGCCATCTTTGGAGAACACAATCTGTTACCCAGCAGGAGGCAATGTTTTCCTTCCCTCCTCTCTGTGTCCAGATGTCGACGAGTGCTCCCAAGGCCCCTCACCCTGCGGGCCTCACTCCATCTGCACAAACCTGCCAGGGAGGTACCAGTGCAGCTGTCTCCCTGGCTTCTCTTCTCCCACTGGAGATGGCTGGAGGCCGGGACGGCCAGGACGCTTCTCCTGCACAGGTACCGCCTCAGGACCCCTGGTGAGGGCTCAGCTGGACTTCTCCCGCGGGGGTGGGTCTCTCACCTTGGATCTCTGATCTCTCTTCACCCACTCTCCTCTGTCACGCAGACATCGACGAGTGCCTCTCCGGAGGGATCTGCCCTGAGCACGCTGACTGCGTCAATGCCCTGGGAAGCTACAGCTGCAGCTGCCATTCTGGGTTCTTCCTTTTGGGCTCTACTTGTGAAGGTGCAGGCAACTGGCTCTTCATCATTTCCCTGCCCAGTTAAATAAGGACCACCTCATGAGAAGACCACAGGAGGAAGGGATTATGACTCTCATTTTAGGGATAAGAAAACTGGGAATCAGGGATGTGGAGTCAGTTTTCCGAGGGTACAGAGCTAAGAGGTGAAACAGCTGGGATTTGAACTTCTTTTGAGGAGTGTGTGTCAGGTATACTTGGTACAAATGAGAGGCTGTGTTCCTCCAGTGATATTTCTTCCAAAGATATTCTGGCAGTGCCAAGAGATTGTTTTTTCTTTTTTCTTTTCTTTCTTTTTTTTTTTTTACAGGAGATTGAACCAAGCGCCTGGAGGGGGCAGGGATATAGCTCAGTGTGGCTATCCCTGCCCCCCCCCCTTTTTGAGAGAGAGAGAATCTCATTAAGTTGCCCAAGATGCAATCCTTCTTACTCAACTTCGGGAGTACCTTTAGATTATAGGCAGGCAGCACCAAACTCGGCATCCAGAGGCATCTTTGGCCATCACAACCAGTGATAGGTAGAAGTGAGGGCTACAGGTGGCATCTTGTGGGTAGGGGTGAGAGATGCTGCTAAATCACAGGACAGCTCCATAACCAAGAATGACAGAGCCTCATGTGTCAGCAGTGCTGAGTTTTCTTCCTTCCCTAGGAAGAGCTGAGACCCAAAGTTTAGAACTTTTCCTAGAAAGGTATTTACATTAATCCCAGAGTTACCCTCAGTCTTCCCTTTTCCTCCATATTTATAAACCATTCATCACATCTTGGGGAATCAAGTCTACTAAATGCATCTGGAATCCTTTCAATTTCTTGCTGTCTCAAGTTTCCTGCAGCAAACTCCCTTCCTTCCTTCCCCCCTCCCTCCTTCCATCCCTTCCTTCTTTCCTTCCATCCATCCTTCCTTCTCTCATTCCTCTTCCCTTCCCCCTCCCTCCTCTCTTCTTCCTTCATTTCCTTCTTCTTTCCTTCTCTGCCTCCCCCCTCCCTCCTTCTCTCCCTCATTCGGCTCCTTTCCTCTATCCCTCCCTTTCTGCTTCCTTTCTTTCCTTCCTTCCTTTCTCAATTTCTCCCTCCCTCTCTTTCCCTCCCTCCCTTCTTCCTTTGTTTCTTCCTCCCTTCCTCCTTCTTTCCTTCTTTCCTTTCATTTTTCCTCCCCTCTCCTCTTTCTCTTTCTGATTCCCCTTCGGGGTAAATGTTTGTGGATTGCTGGTCCTCTTCACAATATGGCAGCTGCCTTCCAAGACCGAACATGTCAAAGAAGCAAGGTGGGAGGGCATGCCATCCTTATGATCCAGCACCATGACCAGCACTGATATCCATCATGCTCAGATTCCAGGGGAGGGAGCACAGACTCCAGAACTCAAAGGAAAGAATGCCAAAGTCCCCCTGTGTGAAGAGCCTGTGGGACAGGAGATTGGCTTAAATCATCATCAGAAAACACAATCTGCTATGCAGGAAGATGAAAATTTGTTCTTCCATCTATTTCTCTGTCTAGATATCAATGAATGTTCTCAAAGCCTGCAGACTTGTGGTCCTAACTCAGTCTGCAAAGACATGGTGGGGAGATCCAAGTGCAGCTATCTGCCTAGTTTTTTCCCCTACTGAAGATGGCTGGATGGTGGGAAAGCCAGTACACACTTTCAGGCTGTCCAGCAACACCAAGATGAGAATGCTACTCTCTAAACTTAGATATCTAATCTCTGTTCACTCACTCTTGTTGCCGTTTCAGACCTGAATGAGTGCCTCCTTACTGAGGTCTGCCCTGACCATTTGAACTGTGTCAACTCCCCAGGAAGCTACAGCTGCCAATGCCCATCTGGATTCATCTCCAGTGGCTCCATTTGTGAAGGTACAGGTGACCAGCTCTTCATCATTTCCATGCCCATCACTCCCTGCTCATTAGAAGCCCATAAGATAAATGATCCTCATTTTGGGATGAGAAAATGGAGGCTCATGAGAAAGAGGTGACCAGATTTTTCCTGAGCTCTACAGCAAGGATGTGGACCAGCTGGGATTTGAACTCCTATCAAGGGCAGTGGGTGAAGCAGTGGGCTCTGGGTGCGAGTTGGAGGAGCTCTTGTCTATAGAGTGAATTTTCACACAGAGGGCAGTGCCAATGTTCAGAGACTTTGTGTGTGTGTGTGTGTGTGTGTGTGTGTGTGTGTGTGTGTGTGATTGGGCATTGATTCCAAGGCTTTTTCACTGAGCTGTGTCCCCAGCTCTTTTTATTTTTTGAGATAAAGCTTTGCTAAATTACTCAGGCTGGGATTAAACATGAGATCCTCCTGCCTCAGCTTCCTGAGGGCTTACACATCATGGACAACTGTACCACCTTGCCAGAGATATTTTTGAGCACAACTGATGACAGGCAGGGAAGGTGTGGAATACTGGTGGCATCTTGTAGGTAGAGGGCAGAGATGCTGCTAAACATCCTACACTTCACAGAAGAGCTTTCACAGTTAAGAATGACAGAGACCCAAATGTCAACAGTTCTGAGCTGAAGTAGCTTTCCCTAGGGAGGGTTAAGTCCCAAACTTTAGAATATTTCCCTGTTATGCTCAGTCTTCCCTTTTCTTACATATTTATAAGTTGTTCCTCAACTCCTAGGAAATCTACCTGCTAAATGCATTTTGATTTCTTCCACTCTATCCTTGGCTCAGGCTTCCTCTTCACAATTCTCCACCTTTCTCCATGTTTGTCCTCTCGAATCCCCCTTCCACGCCACAGTCAGTTGATGACTGTTTTCACCAAGAATTTAGGCTCCATCTTCCTATGTCTAATGCAGCACTATTATTCCTCAGGTTGATTTATAGGGATTGTGACTCCATCGAACAAGCCCACATCATATCCCCTTGGTTTAGTTTAAGACGTATCTGAAATCATTTCTGCTTTTTGTAGTAGCTATTGCCAAGTAACAAATCACCCTACAATTAGTGACTAAATGGAAGAACCATTTATTTAGTTATTGACCCCATGGGCTGGTAGAATAGGCTGGGCTGTCTCATATAACTGGCAACTATCTGGTATGATTTGTCTTTCTTCCAATTGGTCTCTTATTCCTCTCTAGACAAGTCTGAGTTTGTTTGTGTGGTAGTGATAAGAAGCTCAAGAGAAATACCAGAAGCAAACAGTCCTCTTGAAATCCAAGTTTGGAATTAGCATCACTTCTGCTGTATTCTACTGGCCAATGCAAATCACAATGCCAGCCAGATTCAAGAGGTGAAGAATCCGATGCCACCTCTTCATGGAAGGAAGAATTGCCAGTCAGTCACATGATCTACAATCCACACCCCAAATTGTGGACATAGGAAGGTGTAAAAGACTATGCCCCATTTTGCAAATTTTGATAATTATATTTTGAAACCATTTGCCACCTTTCTCCTTACATAGTACTGGCAGGATTTATTCTCCTGGCTATGCCTGACCGCCACAGAGGCTGGGAATGTGTCTAACTCTGCTCCCAAGAAGAAAGGGAGAATACTAATGTTAGGAACATGAGTTCTTTCTGGCACAAATTAACACATGGAGTAAATCTCTTGTTTGCAGTCTCTGGTCCGCCCTTCATCTAATTTAATCTGGGTTTTCTCCTCTGTTTGTCAGATGTGAACGAATGTGCTGATACCAGAGCTTGCCCGGAGCATGCAACATGCTACAATGCTATTGGAAATTACTTTTGTATGTGCAATGCAGGATATGAATCCAGCAGCGGGCACCCCAATTTCCAGGGCCAAGAAGCATCATGTGAAGGTAGGTAGCAGAATCTATTGCAGACTTGGGTCAAAGACTTTTTGAAAGGACAATAGTGAGGGATTTGGAGTCAGTCTTGCCTGCAAAGTTGAGGTCAACTTTCATTCATTCATTCAATAAATATCTCTTGAACCCTCTATGCCAGACACTGTTCTAGAGCCTAAGGCTGTATCAATGAATAATATCACATTCCATACCAGTAGAAATTGGGGATTCAATGTGTGACTATTTGGAGGAGTTATAATTCAATGCATGGTATTCAGGAACATACAACCCATCAGAGCCCAGAATGTCCGTATTCTCAACCCCTTTCCTCTGTGTCTCTTTGTCATTATTAATCACGTAGTGATTCCTTGGGTAGGAGTTGAAATTCACTAGGGAAAGAGAGCAGTATGCAAGTTCAAGGCCCAGGGAACAGAGGAGAGAGACAGTGTGGGTTAAAGGTAATCAGTGCATCTGGACCCTAAATCATGAAGGGATTAGAAGTGAAAGTCATAGAGGGTAAGCTTAGTTGGTGCCATATTCTCAAGGCTCTGACCATTAGAGAAGAGTTTGGATTTTATCCTGAGTAGTGGGAAACCTTTTCAAATTTGCATGAGTCATGATTATGCCTGTAAATGCTGATATGCTGAGTGATAAAAATGTGTTCAAGAAATTGAGACTGGTCCAGGAATGGTGGCACATGGCTGTAATTCCAGCACTTGGGAGGCTGAGGCAGGAAGATCACTGCAAGTTCATTGTAGCCTGGGCTACACAGTGAGTTCAAAGACAGCCTGAACTACATAGTGAGTCCCTGTCTCAAAAAAACAAAAAGTAAAAAAGAAATTGAGACTGGATGTATAGGCTGCTTCCAGGCTTTAGTTATTATGAATTATGCTGCTATAAATATAGGTGTGCAGCTGTAATATGATGTCTTTAGCTCTTTTGGGAAGATACCTAGCAGAAGAATATCTGGGTAATATGGAACTTTGAGTTTTAGGTTTTTAAAGAAATCTCCATACTGTTTTCCATAATGGTGGTACTAGTTTATATTCGCACCAGCAATGCAGAAGGTTTCCCTTTTCAACCCAACCATGCCAGTGTTTGTTATTATTTGATTTCTTGATGATTGCTATTTTTTCTGGTGTAGGATGAAATCTTAGTGTAGCTGTCCATCAACAGGTGAATGGACAAAGAAAATGTGGTATCTATATATAATGGAATCCTATGTGACTATAAGGAAAGATAAATGCTAGACATCATTGGAAAGTGGATTCACCTGGAAAACAAAATGTTAGGAGAGATGAATCAGACACATCAGCCTAAAAACCACAGAGTTCCTTTCATTTGAGTAATGCCAAGCACAAATAAAGAGCAAAGTGAAAGAATGGTAAAAGGAATCAGGGAGATAGATCTTTTTGTAAATGGGAAGGGGTCCAAGTGACTGAGGGGAAGAGAAGGGAGGAAGGGAGGGGACACAAACAGATTACAGACGCAGCGCGTGCATGTGGCCAGTACCCACAACAAATGTAATCATTGCATGTCCCAAACACGAACGAAAGAAATAACAACAATAATGAAAACAGGGAAAGGAGATCTAGAGACAGACGGAGGGAGGTGGATGGGGAGGAAAAGTGAAATAAAACAAACTAGGATGTGTGAAATACATGTACCTACTCCCTAAGATGAATGTAGACTTCATGTACTGCAATCATGTACTAATAAAAGAAAAATTTAAAAAATCAAACCCAGAAGCAGGGAACACACTGGCTTCAGTCGGTGGTGAGGCTCTGAGCAGTCAAGCTCAGCCTCCTTCATCCTTTTAACCCAGACTGGTTTTCTGTTTAGACGTGGATGAATGTTCCAAGAACTCGACTCTCTGTGGTCCCAACTCTGTTTGCATCAACACCCCAGGAGAATACAACTGCTCCTGCCTGTCTGGATTCTCTTCAGCTGGTTTTCAGAACCCTGGAGCCTCAAAGGCTTTGGGATGTGCAGGTAATTCTCCCAGCCATTCTGAGGACTTATCCATGGGTGGCACACTCTCCGGGGACACACTGACTTGTGACAATGACCATTAGTTCTTGCTAGTGATTCTATGGACCGGCGTTTCTGTTTCTTGTAGTGTCTGCTGGGGCACTATGATGGGTTTGGTAGGTTCCAAATGGCTTTGCTTACATGGCTGGTCTCAGGCTAGGAGCCCTGTTGAGACTTTCTTCCTGGGTGCATGACTTTCCACGTGGCTACTTGGGTTTCCTTACAGCATGGCTGCTGGTTTCCAAAAAGGTAAAATTCCAAAGGAAAGAAAGCAGACCCTGATAGCCTTTTTAAGGTCAAGGCTTGGATATCTCAGAGTGTAATTTCTACCTACTCACCACACTCAAGAGCCAGCCTAGATTCCAAGGAACAGGAAATCAAGTCTCCATCTAACTAGGGGAGCAAGGTATGCATTTGGGAAGCGAGAGAATTTATGGAGGTCCTCTCTGGAGTATCTACCATACACCAGAGCACACTTCACATTCTTTATCTTCCAGGGAGAAATTCTTGCTTCTTTTCATTAAAAATGTTCTATTTTTTATTATTTGTTAATGTTCACAAACTGCTGAGTTTAGTAGAAGCAGAACCATAGAAGGATAAGTTTGAAAGGGACCTTAGAGTTAAATTAATCTGGTATCTTGTCCACAGCCCAGGTGTGTTGGGAAAGTGGGAACAGTTGCCAAGGGACTGAAGAAAATACCTAGAGGTGGCTTGTGAGAGAGAAGGTTTATTAACGTATCCACAGATAGAGTCCAGTGCGATGGGCTGGATTTGTTATTTGCCAGGAGGCCTGACAGGTAGTGGGCTAGACAGGAAATCCTTCAGGGCCCAGTGGCAGTGGGCTGGGTGGGGAAATTTTCAGAGAGAGTTTAAGTACCTAGTGGTGGCCATGTGGACGACAGTGCATCACGGTCCCCTGCTCCACACCCAGTCACGGTGGAGAGGAGGTTTCATTGATTGAACTACACAGCAGTGACATCATTAGCTTGCTTTGTTCCACTGCATGACCAGTATTCCAAGGAATAGATGACTTAGCGCATGGGCAGAAAAGCAGTTTTTACAGTTACCACTGGTGTGTCCTGTTCCGAGGGTCCCTCGGATACTTCTGACCCAGATATTCTGGTCCCTGTTCACCTATAGCATCCCCTGCTTGTGGCAAGAGCCTTGGGAAGGCCAAATGGGCATCTCAGGGACATGGTGCTGAATGTCCTAGTTTTTCTCAGGATGATACATACAGTGTCAGGAACTCCTAGGAATCATGAAGGCTCCCCATTTAGTCCAAGGGGAAAGGTGAGCATGCAAGGTGTGTATTTACCGATTCAGGTTTCATTTCACAAGAAAAATGCCTTCAGAGTCCAGAGTTTTTCCCTTCCCTTCCCTTCCCTTTCCTCTCTCTCTCTCTCTCTCTCTCTCTCTCTCTCTCTCTCTCTCTCTCTCTCTCTCTCTCGGTCTTACCCTGTAACTCCAGCACTTTCTATGTAGTCAGGGTTGACCTTGAACTTACAATCCTGCCTTAGCCTCCTTAGTGCTGGGATTACAGATGTGCACCACAGCACTTGGTGGCAATGGTTGGAAAATCATTCACCTAACCCGGCTCCATACACAAAATATAAGTTCCATCTCTGACAAGACCTAGCCTAGTTTATGCCTAAATATTTCTGGAAGTGAGGAGCTCACCACTACTAAAGGAAGATATGAAAGGTTTCATCTTTAACTCTTTCCTAATTATTTTTCTTCCAGAACACTTTATTTTGTAAATCAGAAGGAAGTACAGTGACCCAGCTTTACTCTGGATTAGTTAAGTGAGGGCTTCTCTCCCCCTCAGCCCCATTTGCGTTTTCCTGGTTTTCTGTAGGTGATCTGTTGTATATTGTAGGATGTTTGGCAGCATCTTTAGCCTCTATTTGCTGGATTCTGGTGGCATTCTCCCTGTGCTCACATTCTAACAAACAAAAATGTCTCCAGACATTGCCCAACATTCTCTGGCAGGCAAATTGCTCCCAGTTGAGCACTGCTAGCTTAACATAATGGAGATTTCTCACGGCCACAATATCAATATGGGCCTATCTGGCCAGTACACAGCTTTCCTTCACACTGTGATTAGAGGGACACGGTCTCCTTTCATCTTTTGATTTCATCTGTCCCTTAGGGCCTTGGAGTCTCAACTATTGGGAGGAAAGACAGAGGGCAGAAGTCGCACCCACTTCTTAAGCAGCTTGGCACAGATGTGAATATATCATCCTTCCCCACACTCCATGAGTGAAGACTGGTCAGAGAGTCTCCCCTGGAGGCTGCTGGGAAATGTAGTTTCTAGCTGGGCTGCCATTTTCTAGGACAATGGACCACATATACAGCGGTGGTCTCTCATGAGATTATAGTATAATGCAGGGGAAATTTTTCCTTTGCCTAGTGATGTTGTAGTTCTTCTAGCACAATCCATTACTTACATGTTTATGGGGATATTGGCTTAACAGATCTACTAGACTGTAAGTCATATACCAGGGTAGCATGTGTAATTATGGATTGTACATAAATAAATGTTACTGGCTTATGCTATGCCTTTTATTATTATTTTAGAGGGCATTCCCACTTATTGAAAAGTTAATCATAAAACATTATGCCATGTTAGGCCAGCAACAGCCTCTGTTTGCTATGTCTCTTGACTGCATCGAAAGGGCATATCAAATGATTGATTCCTACCAGCTAGGTTTGTATAAGTATAGTTTATGTCCAGATGTGTTCAATCCATAGCCCATGGGCTACATTCAACCCAGGACAGCTGGTAAAGCAACCCAACAAGATCACACATTATTATGTGATTTGGGGCAGTGTTTTTCATGACTCAATGGTGCGGCTCTACAGTGTAGACTGTGTAGGTAACAACAGAACACTATAACAGAACGCTGTGTAGGAGAGGACATGTGTTTCCAGCACCCTCCACACACTGTCAGTCTAAGTGAAGCCTCTGTGTATCAGATCTTACATGTTTTGTGTGGCTCGCCATGTAAAATGTAGCAGTTATTGATAATGGTATTTCAACCTGCCTACATGTACATGTGCCTGTGAGGATGGGCATTTATTATTATGAAGCAGATCGGTAAGTGTTCAATGTAATTCTTAAATTTGGGCTTCTTGTGTTATTTTGTAAAATAATTTAGTAGATTAAAGTATAAACAAGGACGTTTTGTTACTTACATACATTAACCACGTCTTCTATTTCATATGTGGCCCAAGATAATCCCTCTTCACTCAGTGTGTCCCAGGCAAGCCAAAAGGCCACACATTTATGATTTTCACACAATAACAAAACCACCAAATGATGTACTTATCACATGCATCCCCTCTATGAAGAGAGGAGAGGAGTGACCATACTTTGGAAGGGGAAGCAGGGCTTGGTTGGGCACATGGCCAACTCTATGTAACACCCATTCTCTGCTTGACAGATATCGATGAGTGTGTAGAATCGTGCCCCATCAATTCAGCCTGCACCAACACCCTTGGGGGCTTCTTTTGCACCTGCCACCCTGGCTTCACACCTAGCAATGGACAACTGAATTTCACAGGCCAAGAGGTGGAATGCGAAGGTGAGTGGAGGTTTGGCCAGATGGTGGCTCAGGAAAGAAGTTCCTCCTTATTCCTCTGAGTTCCTTGATACCCTTGAATTCTTTGTAGATACGGATGAATGCTCCCAGGATCTATCACTGTGCGGACCACACTCTGTTTGCACCAATGTTCCGGGCTCCTACAGCTGTGGCTGTTTGCCAGGCTTCCGGCGCAATCCAGAAGGCTCTAAGGCACATGGCAACTTCAGCTGCAGAAGTAATCGTCATCGTGTGTGTTGGCCTCGGAACCGCTGTCTCATTCTGCCTGTAAAGTCTTCATTCTATCAAACCTCTGCTCGCTTCTTTTACTTTCACCTCATCCACACACAATATTCTTGCTCTTTTTTACTCACTCATTAATCTATTCATTTGATAAATTATTTTTGGCTCAATTGTTAATTAATTAATTTAGCAGTCCACTGCACCAAGCATTGAGAATTCAATCCTGATTTTGATGGGCATAGTACCTGCTTTTATGTAGTTTATGGTCAAGGGAAGGAACCAGAGAGTGCTTACCTAATTATTAATAGCGACCATAAGGGATGCAGCAAGTGACACAATGCAGTGTGTTTTGAGGTAAACAATGGGATATTTAATGTGCTCTGAGCAAATGACATTTCAGCTGCAGCTGGAAGGAGAAGTAGGCATTATCCAGATGAGGAGTGGAAGTCATGGTGCTCCAGGTTATAGCACATGCAAAGGTCCTGTGGTTCATGCAGAGTGAGAACAAGGCAGAAGTGCTGCTAGATGTGTCTCATGTGTTGCCCAGAGCTCAAATTATTTAGGGCCTTGGATGCTATGCAAAGCAGTCTAGAGTCTTTTATCCTCAAGAACAGAAAACTACAATGGTTTAAAAATTTAAGTGATGAGATTTTTTTATACATTAAAAATACATACTTAAGTGGCTGCAATGACATATAATGAAACAAATATATCTGACATCCTTCTTAAATTAGAACCAGAATATCATCAAAGCCACTGTGACTCTTAAATGCCCCCCCCCACACTCTACTCCATCCTTCTGTGTCCTTCTGTGTCCTCCTCCCAGGGAAGCTCTTGGAATTTTGTCTTTATTTTTCTCCTACTTAAAAATCCCCCCGCTGAGTAAGTACCTCTAAACTGTATCTATCTTAGTTTGTCTTGCTTGGGACCCCTGTGGAAAATGTTATCATCCTAGTGATTGTATTCTCTGACTCGCTGCTCTCCTCAGAGGCCCTCACACTGTGGTGTGTTTGCAGCTTGTTCATCGTCACTGCTGTGTGTTATGACCACAGCGGATTCTCACCAGGGAGATGACGGAGTCAGACTCACTTTTTGTTCATATCTTGCTGTGATTGCAGTTTGATTTGGTTGCTTTTGTTTCCTTCCTAGGGGTTCCATTCAAATGTAAGGAAGATATGGTTCCCCACAATGAACAGGTCCAACAGTGCCAAGAAGGGTCATCAATGGACCCTAAATATGTAAGTCCTAGTGAAAGATCCTAGTTGTTGAAGTTTTTCAAGAGGACACTTCAGTGGGTTTTTGTTTTTGCAGTCTTAAAGTAAAAAATGATGGTGACCTAACAATCTGTCCACTAGGGAGAGCTTATTTGATTATTCAATAATACTGTCACTGTCAGCACAAGACTTTCACTTTGTGGCTCAGTATGGCTGCTCCAGCTCTTCCCATCACAGCGGCTTTATAGCTGGTAGGAAAAGTAGAAAAGGAAGTAAAAGGCACAGTCTTTCTTTTAAGCGTATGCCACAGTATCTGGTTATATACATTGGCCAGAAATTAGTTACATGGTTGAGCATAGCTGCAAGGGAAGCTGTGAAGAGAAGATACTTAACCTGTGTAAATCAAATGAGACTTTTTTGGAGTCTTGCTACCAGTGAAGGTGTTGCTGTTGATCTGAGTGAGGTGGGATGGGTGATACACAGTTAAGCCAGGCAAAGAGGAATTTTGACATCCTGATTACTTAATGAAGTCATTGAAATTAGCAAAATTTCACGTCACCCTCAGGAATTGATGTCACCATTCTAAATAGGAATTTGAAAATTAGCTTTGAAATTCACATACCATGGGCCACTGATTTTCTATTTAATTTTGGTGAAATAGGCACAACATAAAATTTACCATTTTAACAATTTTAAAACATACAATTAAGTACCATTTAGTGTATTTATGATGTTGTGCAAAAATTGTCACTGTTTCTAGAACATTTTTTCCACCCCAAAAGGAAATCCCACTCCTGTCAATATCCACTTCCTTCTCCCCCCAGCTCCTGGGAAGAGTAATCAGCTCTCTGTCCCCATGGATTTGCCTACTCTAGACACACCCTAAAAACAGAATTATACAGTATTTGGCCTGTAGTATGTGGCTTCTTTCATTCATCATCATGAATAAACATTCTCAATGTTTATCCATGCTGTTGACATGAACCAGAAATCCTTTCTTTCCATGGATGATTAAAATTCTATTTAGACCAATTTTTCACACATTCCCCTTTTTGCTCCCATAAGTAGTTTTGCTGTTTGCTTCTTTTATTCATTTATTCTTCTTTTCATTTCATTTATTCTTTTATTCTTTTATTCATGGAAGATAAAGGTGATGTGATTCTAATTCAATGGTTTACTAATCAGCCTTAAAAAAGGAGAAAATTCTGACATTTGTTGCTACATGGATAGACCTGAAGAATATTATTTTAAGAGAAGTCAGGCACGGAAAAGCAAACTGCATGGTCTCACTTACAAGTGAAATCTAAAACAGTCAAACTCATAGAAGAGAATGGGATGAAATGTGTGTGTGTGTGTGTGTGTGTGTGTGTGTGTGTAGAAATAGTAGTAAAAGGGTAGAAAGTTGCAGGCCCACAGGAAGAACAAGTTTTTAATGAGCCATTGAAAGTGCGGTGACTGTAGTTAGTAATAGTCCATTGTATATTTCAAAATTGTTGCAAGTGAATTTCAAATAGTTCCGCTTCGAAGCATGATAAGTCTTTGAGGGGAGGGATATGTTAATTAGCTTGCCTTAATCATCACACAAAACATCATGTTGTACCCCACTAACATATACAATGATAATATGTTCATTTGCAATAAACAAACTTAATTTTATTGGTGTGTAATATGGTATACATTATTGGAGTACAGTGTATTATTTCAACACAGGCATATGGCATTTACTGATCAAGGTGGGGCAATAAGCAGTTGCCTCACCCTGTCATTTCTATTCGGAGCCTTTTTCTCTTCTAGTTATGCATATGCAGTGTCATGGGTTATTGTGAGCCCTAATCCTCCCTAACCCTCACGTTGGAGAGCATGAGAACTTATTCCTCCCATGGAACTACATTTTAGTACGTGTTACCTAACATTCTTTTATTCTACTTCTCACTCCTAGCAAAAACAGTTGATCGGGTGAGTTTTATTTCCCTGAGAATTCTAGAGACTCAGGAGTTCAGGACCCTCTGCTCAGCATGATGGTCCAGGCTGTAGAAGATGACCTTGAGGGTGGACTGACCTGTGCTCACGGATGCTCTTTCTTTGGGGACACAGGTCTCCTTCTGTGCCCTCATGAATGCCACCTTCAGGGTCCTGGATGATGCCTGTGAAAACAAAACCGCCGTTGTGTCCCTGAAGGTAACAAGGGGGTCTTTGTCATTGTGTTTGAGTTTCTAACATCTCGCACATGTTTTGGGTGCAGAAAGTCTTCGTGATCACTGCCTTGTGCGTTCACCTTTAACATACCGCAGTTGTGAGATTATGAAAGTCAGCATACTCTCAAATTACTTTTTCAGACTTTGTAGGTTCTGTGAGAGTCTGAACAGATTTGTGGAGCTACCACTAATGAGGAAACAGTCACTTTCATTTCCCCCCAAAATCCCCTTGACTTTTCCCTCTTATATTTAGAAGCTTCCTTCTCCACTCACCCCTGTAAATCCCAAACGTGCTGTTCCGCACATCTGTCTTCTCAAGAACGTTATAAATAGGATCATAAGTATGTGGCCTTTTGAGACTGATTTTCTTTTCTTCCTCAGCATCGTGCCTTTGAGATTCATGTGTATTATGTCTATCAATATTCCCATTCCTTTTCATTAACCAGTAGAGGCATTTAGCACCTTGGCAGGGCCGCACCATCATCACAACTTTCTAGTTGCAGAACACTGACATCACGCCTTCCCAAGGAAACCCTGTACTCACTGAGTAACTGGTCCCCATCTCCCTCTTCAGTCCCTGGCACCCACCACTCTGCTATCCACTCTAAGGACCTCCCGTGAGAGGCATCACACAGTATTTGTCCTTTTGTGTATAATTTCCCTCACTGAGCATGGAATGGTCAACATCCACCCGTGTCAATGGCATGGATAAGTGTTTCATCCCTTTTCATGGCTGAATAACATCTCTATTTATGAAGGTACCATATTTTTTAATCCATTCATCTTTGAAAGAACTTTAGGTTGTTTGCAACTTTTGCCAGTTGTCAATAGAACTGATATGAACACTTGTGTACAATTCTTTTTTTTTAGTGTGAATATGAATCTTCTCCATGACATTATACATAGGAGATGCTAGGTCATTATGGTTGTAGATATTAAAGCCTAGTTTTTTTAAGCCTGTAAACTGGACTTGTGGCTGTAGTTATTTTATTTCTAAATATTTTTGTGAAAAATAAGACATAGATATTGGTTATTTTTGTTATGAAAATAAGAAAAAACTTTCATATTTGTAATTTGATTCATTGAAAATTAATTTAACATGTTTATTAAGTGTGCATGCATAGCATTTTCAGACTAAATTTTCATAAATAATTTACCCTGTTTTTGAATTTAAAGTCCCTGAAGTATTTTATTCTATGTTTACAAATAGTCTTATTTCCACACCACACTTCAAGCCCTCATGAGGAAGATTTAAAAATCTAACAGGCAAGGTCCCAGGGGCCTTCAACTGACTCCAAAATTCAATTCCTCTAGTTATAGACATAATAATTCTATGCCTACAATAATTCAAATTCTTCAAAACAATACAATTTATAAGCAGCCACATTCTTGAAAATTGATCCTATTACAATCATAAATCAGATCACAGTTTTCAATGAGATTTTGTGGTTCTCTAATGTGTCTAATTGTTCCAAACCTTTTAAATAACAAAAGTTTCCAGATTAAGATACAGAACTCAAAATCTTCTAAATTTCATACAAAAGTATTACCACTATGGATTTGTACTTTGGATATATGCACTTTTTCCTGAGTATATAAAATGTTTCCCAGCTAATAAGAATTAGGTCTCATATTCCAAGGGGGTTTTAGTTAGGCTTTACGGCCGTAGAATCAGGGACCGGATTCTCCCAGGTATTTCTGGCTGGATTTTTTGGCTGTGTTGGTGGGAGGAGGGCCGACCCAACACTCATGCCATTCAGGGATGGGGTTGGCCCTCAGAATGCTGCTTCTCCTAGACAGTCCTCTCTCAGATTTCACAAGATCCCATTTGGGTTGAACTCCTTTTTATTTTTGACATCTAATTTTGAAAGGTCGAAACTTTTTTCCATAGTTAGATTCCTGTTTTATATCCTTAATGATCTGATTCATTTCTTTCCGCAATTTATTAGGTTCTCAATTCTTTTTGTACTTTTTGGGCTTGGGTTATGATCACAAGTTATAGTCAGTTTATTAAAGATAATAGTAATTAAGGGGTTGATTCAACACTACTATTATTATATTTATTGCTATTCTTACCTTGCCTGTATTTGTCAGACATAACCAATGTTAGCAGTTAGATGTGTGTCTCTGTCTTTTACTTTGTAAGTGTATACACACACACACACATTCAATTCATTTATTGAGTATTTACTATGAAAAGTTTAGGGCAGTAACTAAGAATTCAGACTTTGGTGCTGGGTATTCCATCTACTAGAAACAAATTTTTGTTTCCCCACCCCAAACCAGGATATAATTGCCACCATTTCATAGATGTAGTCTCAATATTAGACAAGTAAATATATCTAAGATCTCTCTGTCTGTCTCTGTCCCTTAAAAAGTATCTGTCTCATAATAAGTGTGCATTATTTTTTATTTTCTGGCCAGAAACATACATACCATAAATATGTCTTATATTATTGTTAAGCCACATGAGATAATGCATCCTATTTATAATTATATTAACTTAATTTTTGTGACCCATCCTGCTTGTTAAAACATAGAGATACACTACAGCAGTCTTATTTTTTGGTGGGGGAGGTACCGGGGATCGAACTCAGGTCCTTGAGCTTGCACAGCACGCCACGAAACCACTGAGCTAAATCCCCAGCCCTAACAGCATTCTTCTTTAGCAGGTGCTTCCTACCCCACAATTGGATTTCACCCTCATCTATTTAACCGACTTGTTGGACATTAAGGATTTCTACAAGTCATCTTAAAATAAACGTCATTGAACAATTTTTCAAAATTGCACAATTTTTAAGTAATTCTGGAAGGATTAATTTTTGGAAGAGAAATTCCTGGGTCAAAAATGATGTGCAGTTTCCATTGTTAGAGGCACTCTGTAAAGGCGATGTTAATTTGTGTTCTCAAAGGGACCTCTTGAGTCAGAAAATGGCAGCTGATGGAGGCTTCTTTTCACTCTCCTTTGGCCTTGCTCTCAGTCTACTCTCCTATTGAGAGAGGATAGCTGCTATTTCATTACTGAGACAGGAGGAGGGACAGATGGAGGACAAGGAGGAGGCGAAGGTGGATGGGGGCAGAAGAAGAGAAGGGAAGGAAGAAGAGGAAGAATTAAAAGATGGAAGAGAGTGAGGGGAGGTGTGGGAGGGAGAGGAATGAGAAGGAGAAGGAATAAATATATCTTTTCTTGCAGAGCAAGGTGGAGAGCTTTGCCTCTGTGCTTGAACAAACATCCACATGGACCAAATTCAGCAAGGAGGAGAAGTCCACCCTGGCCACGGTCCTACTGCAGAGTGTGGAAAGCAGCACGTTAGCTGCTTTACTGAAGTCTTCAGAGAATGCCAGCCAGACTATTCAGACAGAGCACTTAGGTAACGTAACTCTTCAGGGCAGAGCCACCCTTGGGTGCCAAATTGAAGGGGTGACTTTGGAAATGAGATTCTCTGTAGCTTTCCAATTGAATCTATCCTCAACTAATACAAAATCCTAAATTCACAACAAAGCAAGTCTGGTTATGTTGATGTTTCCCATTCTCTGTGCATTTGACAAGGACAAGGCACTGTGCTAAGCCTGTTTCATTAACTTGTGGATGGACTCCCACTGACCTCACTCCCACAAACTCTTCAATTTTCTACACCTTCCCAACAGTGCCATGTGCTAGAGGCCAAGCCTTCAGCACACAAGGCTTGAAGAACGTCTCAGATCTAAACTTCAGCTCTACCTTTCTTTGATGCACTCCTTACAATATGGGAGCTCAAAAACTCCCACTACATTTCTCATTTTCTTAGTGCTGCTGTCCTCCTTCATCTTTCAAGGGACTCAAGACCTTCCCGGTGACACACTGGCCTTTCCCTTCTTCTGTTTGCTTTTAAGTATGACTGTGTAACCATTTGGACAGAAATCAACTTCAGAACCCATTTTCTGAGTGACTGCAAGCGTTTCTTTCCCGTTTAGATATTGAGAGCAAAGTAATCAATGAAGAATGCAATGAGGAGAATGTGTCCTTTCTCTTGAAAGCCAAAGGGGATGAGGTGACTGTTGAGTGTTCCATCATTGAAGAATCTGAAAGCACAGGTACATTGAGACCCACTCCTGAGAGTCTGGGTGACGGTGCGTTCACCCTGGAAGAATTTATTGATCACCGCCTAGGTATCAAGATCATTCCAGGTAGTTGACAATCAATGATAGTGGAGGCAGAAGTGGCCAATGTCCATGGAGATTTTTCCATCTGCTAAGGAAGTCAAATATTAAAAACGTAATGTCAGCCAACTGGAGTATGGGGACCTTCCCTGCTCAAATATGGTGGCCACATTGAGCTCCTGAGCACTTGAAATGTGACTAGGCTGAATTGAAATGAGCTCAAAGTAAAATGTATGCTATATTTCAGAGACTTGGTGCAAAAAAGAGAACAAATATTTCTTCTTTTTTTGGTACCAGGGATTGAACTCAGGACCTTGCACTTTCGAGTCAGGCAGTGGCACCACTGAGCTACATCCCCGGCCCACCAAATATTTCACTTATAATTTTTATACTTAAATTACTTTAAAATAATATATATTAAAATACGTTTTAAGCCTCATTTTTTCTTATTTAAAAACTGACAGGCACATATGTATTTACTGTGTACAACATGATGTTTTGAAGCATGTATACTGTGTGGGATGGCTAAATCTAGATCGTTTATGTACAAGGTGTGGTCTAAAAATATAGTGAATATTTACATTGAAAAATTATTACAAGAAAAGACACATTGGTAGGATCCACCTCAAAATATTCTCCCTTGCTTTGAAAACACTTACTCCATTGTTCTTGCCATTTTCTGAATCAGTTCTGGGAGTCCACTTTCATGAGTGTCTTTAGTTGCATTATCTCGGTTGCCTCAATGTCCTAAACCAATTCACAATGCTCAGCAGCGATAGGAATTGTGACTTTGGGGAAGATCCAGACATGCATGGTTGCAGAATATGGTGGATGAGGATGCACCATCTGGTTTTTAGGAGCCTGCCTTTCCACAGCAACAGTATTCACTATAGTTTTGGTCATGCCTCATAAAAATACTTTCATGTTATCATCTCAGATTCTTATCATTTTTGTGGTGGGAATATGTTTACTTCCTTGGCTTTTTCCCTCTTTTTTGGTACCGGGGATTGAACTCAGGACCTTGCTCTTGTGAGGCAGGCAACAGAAGCACTGAGCTAAATCCCCAACCTTCCTTGGCTTTTTTCTACAGTGCAGCACACTGATGTTAACTCTAGTCATTTGCTGTACAATAGTTTTCTTGAACATATTCTCCCTGTCTAACTGGAATTTTTTATTCTCTGACCAACATCTTCCAGTGCTACTAGACACTGGTAACTACTATTCTACTCTCTGCGTCTATGAGATCAATACTTTTTTTAGGTTCCACAAGTAAGAGAGATCACGTGGTATTTGTGTGTCTCTGCCTGACATATTTCACTTAACATAGTTTTCTCCAGGGTCACCCATAATGCTTCCAGTGACAGGATTTTAGAAAACATGATATATATATATATATATAAATATATATATATATATTTATATATATATGCATTGAAATGCTATTCAACCATAAGAAAAGAAGAACTTATTTTACAATATAGTTTTACATTTTAAAATATCGAATTTACATTTTAACATGATATTTTGCTTAATATATCATTTAAATTTTTTGTTTTTTGGTTTTTAAAAATGTAGTTACCAGATAATTTCAAATTATATATGTGGCTCACACTACATTTCTGTTAGACAATACTCATCTATATTGTGGTTGGCATACTTTAACCCTAGAAGGGAAGCTAGTCAATATGTTAGGCTTTGTGTACAATACAGCCCAGTCTGCTGTCCTTTATCTATAATCAATTCTGTAATATTTCAGTGTAAAACCACAAGATGAAATGTGGCAAAAGACATTTAAACTAAATCCAGAGGAGTAGGTAGAGAAAGAAGCAAACATCTTAGGCAGTACAAGCAACAGATCTGCATAGAGAAAAAACCCTGGGCCTATTCATGGAACTAAAAAGTGGGAGAAGGTTACAGCAGCATAAATGTTGAGGGAGACAGGGAGGAGGCAGAGGGTATTTGATCCCCATCTGTTGGTTTACACAATCTCCAGAGGGCACAGAAAGCCTGGGAATCTCCTGTTTAGCGGTAGGCTCTAAAGCAGTGCTCTGGCTGCAACATAGTGCACGGCTGGTGTGAGACGGGGTGTGAAGGAGGCTGATGAGCAAGTAGAGGTCCAGAGGGAGGGACCAACTTGGATCTCAGGCTACTGAAGTGAGAAGTGGAAAGGGGATCATCAGGGCCCATCGAGAGGGAAGAATCTGTTTTTGGGTGAAGTAGAAAGAAAAGAGAATTCTCCAAGTTCCAGTTTAGGTGACTTCATTTATTGAAAGAAAGGAATGGAAATCAGAGATGGAGACAGAAAGTAGTCAATTTGTGGGATGTCTCAGCGGACGTCTAGAAGGTGCCTCCGTTGGCTGCGAGGTGGCAAGTGAATCCTGGGGGATGGGACAGACTGGCGGGGACAGGAAACAGCTCCGGGAGGCCTCCCTGGACACCCCTGGTATTTAAAAAGAAGGCACAAAGCCCACAGGAAAGGTCAAACAGGAATAAAGGTGAAGGTGGAAGGAAAACTTAATCCCCATCACTGAATGCCCTGTCCCTTAAAAGTGAAAATTCAAATTTATGTTTAAATGCAGGTAAGATTTCTCATGGTTATAGCCACTCAGGATTTCTTAAAAAAAAAAAACAAAAAAACCCACAAAACTGTATGGTTCTGACGAGGATCACCAATCTGGCAGTTCACTGCTAGTTCGGTCCTCAGAGCGAGCCGGTTTCGGGGCTTGGAATCTTCCAGTGCTTGCGAGTGTGTGGGCGCATCCGTTACAATTCGCTAGCTAATGCTTCCCACTTTTCTTTTTCATTTGGGCAGGGACCGTTGGAGTGGCTTTTGTCTCCTTTGCAAACATGGAATCTGTTTTAGATGAACGCTTCTTCAGAGACCCCCAAGCCGGCTGGGGCACCATGGAGAGGAAATTGCGCATGAATTCTCGAGTCGTCGGGGGCATCATGACTGGGGAAAAGAAAGACAACTTCACAGAGCCCATTGTCTACACCCTAGAGAACATTCAGGTAGTGACAAGTTCGAGACCCCAGTCTGGTCTCCTATTGAGATATTGCTATTCTCCAGGGGCTGCAATTCTCATTTTTCTAAATTAAACATTTTTATTCTGAAATAATCATAGCTTCAGTTGTGAGAAATAATGCAAAGAAATCTCATGTACCTTTACAAATGTCCTCAAAAGTGACAGCTTGTAAAATTATAGTAAAACATTACCACTAAGATCTTGAAATCGATGCAGCTAAGATAACAGTGCAAGTCCAGTACCACGATAGTCTCTCTTTGGATCTTTTAAACAATTTTAATTTAATTTTAAGATTACAGATAAAATCATAACTGTACAGATTAATGGGGTACCACCTGGTGTTACAGTACATCTATACGGTGTATAATGTCTGAAGCAGGTTTTACAGTTTTTAATTGGCACACTATATTTGTACATATTTATAGAATACAGTATGATAATTTGATAAAGTATACAAGTGTAAGGATCAAATCAGGGTAATTATAATTAGTATTTACACATCCTATAATGTTTATCATTGCTCAGTTAGAAAACTTCTGAACCTTTATTTATTTACAAGGATGGGATAAATTGTTGTAATCTCACCTTTCATTGTTCATAGGAACTATTCAGGCAGGCATCTTCTACAATTTCTTGCAACTCAAGCCATATCCCCACAACTGTCTGGAGAAGAATGAGCTCTCTTATTTCCATCTAGTGCTGCTACCTTCAGCACTGGGCTAGATGGAGGCGAGATTGAGCAACATGGATGCAGGAACATTCACGGGCAGTTTATTTACCTTAAGCAGAGCCCATTCAGCAGTGGAGACAGGACAACTGTGTGTTGAGATACCAGCATTTTCCTCCATTTCATGTAGACTCTATGCACATCTTTTTTCCCCAAAGGTTCTTTTCTTCCAGTGCTGGAGGTGGAGCACAAGGCCTCACATATGCTAGGCAAGTGCTCTTACTCCTGAGGTGTGTCCAAACTGTCCATGACGTGGGTCATATAAAATCGGTGAAAGGGACCCTCAGGTGCCCAGCCCCTTTTGTTTTCAGCCTCAGGAGCAGCTGGGGATGACCATCTGCATTTCCTGGGACAGTATGCTATTTGTTGGAACAAGACTTGGTGCATTTTTTTTTCCCTTCTCAATAACACTCCCCTCTACTCCCACGACAGTTGTAGATGTTTTCCTGAAACATATCATCTCCCCAACTCTTGAGTTATTTTTTTCCAAACGGGTTTTACTTTGCTGATACTTCTCAGGCATAAATACCCTGATGGGATGTTTTGGAGCTTTCTCCATCAATCTGTCAATGTTCAGGTTTGATTCTGTGCTCTAGTGTGCAAAAGCAACATGTTTATCTCCTTCTGTGCTCTCCACTTACCATGGCTTGTTTCAGTTCCGGAAATGCACCAGTGTCCTTTGTGCCTCCGGACACTTGCACATGTTCTTCCTGCCTAGAATGCCTGCCTTCACCACCTGTACAACTACAATGCCCCTTTCATGCCTCAAATGTCATTGCTTCAGAGACACCTTCAATGCCTGTGTATAACATGAGATTAATTTAACTACTGTTGCACACTCTCAAGCCATGCTGTTATTTTTATTGTTGCTAAAAAGGTCTCTGCTCACTCATTTTCATATTTCTCCTTTCATCACACTATGGCTTCACTAGGGGATGGGGCTATGTCTGCTGCACCTATCAACCTCTCTTGTGTGTAGCACAGATGAAGGCATGCCATGGGTCCCCAGGAAAATACAATGAGTGATTGCAGGAATGACCAGCCCCATCCCAGAGCTGAGCAAAGGAGGCATTTTCTTCTAGCACTCACACTGTGGGCAATAGCATCAGAGAGGACTTCACTGCATATGGAAATGGAATTATTTCTCTCCATTTGGTATCTTTGGGCCCCAGTGGCTCTTGAGGTTGGTCACAGGGAATCCACTGCTGAGAAAGTCTGAAGTCACTGGGCCCTCTGATTTTTCAGCCCAAGCAGAAGTTGGAGAAGGCCATCTGTGTTTCTTGGAGCACAGACACTGAGGATGGGAGGTGGACACCATCCGGTTGTGTGACCCTGGAAGTTTCGGAGACACATACCAAGTGCAGCTGTCACCATGTGGCGAACTTGGCAGTCATCATGGCTTCTGGGGAGCTCACGGTCAGCACCGACAATCTTTTCTCTGGGCTCCTGAATATATCCTCAGATCCACTGGGAATGTACCATGGCACCTCGGTTCATGAACAAATTCATTCTACAATTCTGGAAAAGATGGCCATGTTTGTGTTTGTGTGGGAAAGATGGTCACAGTCATATTAGTCACCCGATGCAGACTTTGCGAACAAAAACATAGTTTTGTCAAATGCTTGTGTTCATGAACCAAACTGTTCACAGACAAAAGCATTCCTGAACCGAGGTACCACTGTATCATCTTCTGTGTGTCCCTTGGGGTTTTGGGGGTTGTGGGAAGTAACCATGGGGACAGAGGGCCATGTGTGCCATGCCTCTGTCCTTTGTGAACTCATGATCTTGTAGGGAAGGCAAGGAATAAAATATAAAATCAGAAACAGTGCCCTAAACAAGTGCAGGCACCATAAGTTTAACAGGCCCTATTTCATAAATGCCTTTTGTGCCCTGGACTCTTTGTTTTAAGTTTCGTGTTCTTAGGCTCATTTTATAAGATACGTGATTGAGGCTCAGCAGCATGCCTAGCCACGAAGCTGGTCATTGACGGGGTGAAATTTCTGCAGAACTTCATTAGAACTGTAAAGAACTAACAACAGTGATTCTGAAACTATTCCACACAGCAGTCAGTGATTTCGCTGCACGAATTCTTCACCCAAGTCATGAACTCTTGCAGGCCAGGCTTCACAAAGTTTCCAGTAAATCAAGTGTTAGGAGGAGACTTACAAGACAGAAATGGCAACAAAAATGATGACAGTTAAGAAAAACTGCAGGCACCAAACTCCAGAAACACTTTATTATTTCATAAGAGTGCATTAAGTATATCCATTAAAACAAACGACCTATTGGATTATGAAGATTCATATTAGACACAAGCATGTCCATTTGTATCAAGTGTGCATGTTATTCATGCATTGTGTCTGTACTCTGATTGGCCATTTGGCAGGAAGTCTCAAGTTCCTCTATTTGCACAGGCGTTTACCTCTGGTCCCAATGCTCCTGCTTGGGGATTTACAAATAATTATAATTTATATTATTATTTATTTTAAGTACTAATATCAATAAAATTATTTATATTTTATTGTATATTATTATTTTATGATTCATTGTTTCCATCGTGTGTTGCAACAGACATGATAATGCATCTGTCTGGTTGATGATCTTAATTGGGACTTACTTTAGGGGTGGGGCTTATATTACGAGCATCTTGAAAAATCAGGCTAGGGCTTGTTTTCCAGTTAGGTCTTATGTTCAGTGAAGTAGGATAGATAGATAGATAGATATAGATAGATAGAGATAGAGATATAATGAATTCCCCATAGTGAATATACTTATTATGAGTCACAAATCGATACTAATATAACATTTCTACAAAGAAATGAACAATCCTAAAATTCACACAGAAGTACCAGAATAGCCAAAGTAATAATGCTGGGCAAGAGAACAAGGCTGGAAGGATCACAGTACCTGATTTGAAATTATACTGCAAAGCTAGAGTAATGAAAACAGCGTGGTGCTGCCACAAAACTAGACATCCAGAGCGGTGGGATAGAATAAAGGTCACAGAAGCAAACTCAAGCCACTACAAGCATCTGATTCTTGACAATGGGCCAAAAACAAATGATGTAGAAAATAGAACCTCTTTACAGATAGTGCTGTGGAAACTGGATAACCATATGTAGATTGAAACTAGATCCCACTCTTGTCCTGTACAAATCAATTCAAAATGGATTTAGAACCTTGGTTTAAGACCTGAAGCTTTGAAATTTCTAGAAGAAAATATAGGAGAAACACTTGAAGTCATATGCACAGGAAAAATCTTTCCTACAATAGGACTCCACTCACACAGGAAATAACGTCAAGAATCAACAACAGGGCTGAGGATTTAGCTCAGTGGTTCCACCGCCTGCCTCACAAGCACAAGGTCCTGATTTCAATCCCCAGTACCAAAAAAAAAAAAAAAAAAAAAGAATCAACATTAGAAACTACCTCATATTGAAAAGCTTCTTCACAGCAAGGCAAATACAAAAACAAAACAAAACAAAAAACCAGTAAATTCTGTTGAGGATGTAAGGAAAAAGGAACCTTTTTACACTGCTGGTGGTAATATAAATTAGTATATCTTCTATGGAAATCAGTACACTTATTCCTCAAAAAAGTAAAAATAGAACTACCATATGACCCTGCTATGTTGCTTTTGGCATAAATCTGAAGGAAGCAAAGTCAGCATTCTGTGAAGATAACTGCACACCTATGTTTATTGTAGCATAATTGACAATAGCCAATAGATGGAACCAGCTCATCAATGGATAAATGAATAAAGAAACTATTATATGTACGGATGGATGTAATTCAGCCATAAAGAAGAATGAAATTATGTCATTTTCAGGCAAATAACTGGAATTGGAAATCACCATCTTAAGCGAAATAAGCCACATCAAGACACATGTTTTCCCTAATAGTGGAATCTAAAATGAAATGACATGAAAGTAGAAAGGATATTCTTGTTAGTCAAAGGGAATAGAATAGGGGGAAGCAGGCAGGGAGGTATAAGGAAAGGTAATTGAGGGGATGGACATGATCAAAAGATACGCATGTATGAAAAATACCACATCAAAACCCAATACTTTGTAAAATGAATATGCCCCAATGAAAATACATTTAAAAAGAAATCGTTCCTGTCATGTCCCTTCTTCCCCTATGCAATTAAGGACTGGATAGTTGGAATGTAGAGTCCAGCCAAGGCTGATATTTTCCCTGTTCTTTATTCCCAACCATCTGTGGAGCATCTCATTGGCCAACCCGAGGGTCATCATCCAGGAATTTAACCTCAAGGGGTTCTGGGAAATGTAGTTTGTGGATGTCCAGCGCCATAACAGAGGGTGGAGCATATGACAGGGTGCGAATGAGTGCTGAAGAATTTCACTGGGCTGGAATGAGCGACAACATACAGGATCTAGTCCATTCTGAGTGTCAGAGGGAGAAAAGGCCCGGAGTCCTTTCTCCCAAGATACAGGTCTGGTTGACTTTTTCTGCCTGCAGGTGGCAGACAGCGATTCCACGCTGAGGCTAATAGCAGATCTCCTTCCTGACAGATGGAGTTCTCCTTGTACGTCATCAGCCACGTGGGCATGATCGTCTCCCTGGCGTGCCTCGTCTTGGCCATGGCCACCTTCCTACTGTGTCGCGCCATTCGAAACCACAACACCTACCTCCACCTGCACCTGTGTGTGTGTCTCTTCCTGGCTAAGTTTCTCTTCCTCACCGGTATAGACAAGACCAACAGCCAGGTCAGCATTCCTCGGGCTGTGCCTCGATCTCCTTGTCTCTGCTCCTCCCCACCCTATTCTCAGTCAGGGCCTTTGCACATACTCTTCTCCCACCCATCACACACTTTCTGGCCTCTCACCTAGTGGACTTCTTCCAGTGCTGGTAAAAATCGTGTCCCTGACCTCATCAGGAGTTCTGTTGTTCCCTTCAATTATTTGTTCACCAGTGATTTTTACCCGTGTGACCTCACCCCTTAAGAGATACATGACAGTGTTCAGAGACATTAGCAGTTATTGCAGTTGGGCAAAGTGCAATTGATATCAAATACTTAGAGCTCAGGGATGCTGCTAAGCACCCCACACTGCACAGGATGCCCCAGCACCCCTGGAGAGGAATGATACCAATCCTGTTACAAACCTCAATAGTGCTATGGCTGAGACTCTCAACTTCTCCCTATCACAATACTGTGTGTCATTCCCTGGCAGTCATTTGAAACCATGGTGATTGTTGGCTGTGCCATTTGTCGTGTGTCTGTGTCTCCTTCCCTGGACTGAGAGCCCCATGAGGGCAGGGACCTGGGCTGCACGCCTGATACACTGTAGGCTCCTGGGCTTCCTCACAAGGAGTCCAAATCTAATGTGGGGTGAGATTATCAGTCTTTGTGCATTCTTTGTACCCCACTCTCTGTGTGGTGTTTAGCTTTGCAACCCCTTGAGTATTCAAGGCTGTCAGGACCCACTTCATCATCTGCATCACAGTGGGATGGACTATCAGTAAGGAGTCAGGAGATATTTTCAGCTTTGACACAGACACAGTGTGTCTGCTCCACGCCGCCAGGGTGCCATGAAAGCAGTCACAGATAATACATAAATGGGCATGGCTTTGTATCAATAAAACTTTATTTATGAAACAAGCAATCAGCCCGTGGGCCTATAGTTTGTTGAACCCCATCCTCCCACGTGTTCAGACATTTTTCAATGTATCCAGTTTTGCCACAGCCTTTCTAGTTTTAGCTCTATAGGTCACGTGTCCTGGGAAAGCTCAGTGGCACACCAAGGGGATGAGGGGGTCCCATCACTGAGGGAGTCATGCTATGGTTCTAGAAATATGTGTGGACAGAATGAATGGTGGCATTTGGTGGCCCAGTCCACGTGGCCCCCCTGTCGTTCTCTCTCAGTCTTCTCCTTGAGTGGAAACCCTAACACTCACGCGCCCTCTGCAGATGGGCTGTGCCGTCATCGCTGGGCTCCTGCACTACCTCTTCCTCGCCTGCTTCTTCTGGATGCTGGTGGAGGCCGTGATGCTCTTCCTGACGGTCCGGAACCTGAAGGTGGTGAATTACTTCAGCTCTCGCAACATCAAGATGCTGCATCTCTGTGCCTTTGGCTATGGGCTCCCAGGGCTGCTGGTGGTCATCTCTGCCAGTGCGCAGCCTCGGGGCTATGGGATGCATAACCGGTGAGTAGCCTTCTCCCTTTCCCAGAAGCCCCTGCTGCCAGGGAGCACGATGGTGATCCTTGAACAGGAAAAGCAATAACCATAGCAATAAACCTGCTGGTCACAGATCCACCATATACAGTGACATGGGTTGTACACTGCACATATCCAGGAGTCGTGACTACTTGAGACTCATTCCAGGAGGGACTTACCGGCTCGCCCTAACTTGATTTTGTTTCTTCTTAGACATGTCTATTGGAATTGTTAAAGGAATACTGATGTACTGTTGTTCACGGTGGGAGAATGGTTTTTATGTGGTCAAAGTTGCAAACATATACCACATTTCCTTTATGCGCTCATCTGTTGGCTGGCATGTAGGTCTCTTCTGTAATTTAGCTCTTGTGAACTGTGTTGCTATAAACATGGGTGTGCATGTACTGCTGAATACAATGACTTTATCTCTTCCAGGAAGACACCCAGAAGAGGAATAACTGGGTCAAATAGAATTTCTGTTCTTGGTTTTGTGAGGAATCTCTGCACTGTCACCAACTATAATAAACAAAACAAAGTAGAAAATATGCATTTGAGACCTGATAGAAAGAGACACTGCCTTCTCCTCCCCGTAATTCTGGGCTGCCTGATTCATGCTAGGCTTTGCACTGGTTGCTGGTTTATTGCAGAGATGACCAAAGCATCCATGTTCCAAATTCTCATAGTCTGGATAGGGAAGAAAATTTGCAAATACACAAATAATTGAACAAGATACCTGATGGTACAGAAAGCTGCTATCTGAAAATTCGGTGAAAGCCAGGCGTGGTGGTGCATACCTGTAATCCCAGCACTCCTGGGGCTGAGGCAAGAGTATCGCCATGAGTTCAAGACTAGCCTGGGCTACCCAGTGAGATCCTGTCTCAAAATAAACCATAAAAAAATTAAAAATAAAATGCAGGGAGCTCTGCTGGAGAGGCCCCGGCTGTTGCAATGAGACACTTAGCTGAGGATGGGGAGGAGCAGCTGCTCACTGGATTGGAGCTGAGATTTGAATGACATAGTGTGTGAGTCTAGTTTGCACAGGCAGAGAAGGGATTACAAATGTTAAGAACCAGTAATGAGCTTGATCTCCAGCCCTGGGTGAACATTTCAGGAACATCTGTCCAGGTAGATTGTCTGAAACAGGATTCATCCTCCTGCAGTGAATACAGAAAAGCAGCCTGGTCCCTGATGAGAATTTCCACCTGATTTCACCCCTCAGTGTTCTCCCTGTTGGTGTGTTTGTTGATCTAAGAATAACTGCAAGGTCAGGATCTGCAGCCTCTGCTCACACTTCTCATTTCTCTCCACAGCTGCTGGCTGAACACGGAGACAGGGTTTATATGGAGCTTCCTGGGGCCGGTTTGCACGATCATAATGGTAAGCAAATTATTTTGTGAGATGCATTTTGGAGAAGGAGCAAGGAGGCCCAGGAGATTAGGAAGTGCCAGTGAAGCACAAAACAGAGAAGCTCCCTTGTTCCTCTCAAAAGTATTTTTTTGTGATCCTTGGCTTTAAGTTTACATTCTTTGACTTGTGACATTTTATTTGTGCTGAAATAAATACACCTCATGTAAAGCCCAGGTGTGCTGAGGGGTTTATGAGTGAAGGGTTACGAGTGCATTAACAGGGAAGGACAGTGTTAAATGAGGCTTAACAGCAGGAAAGGACAGAGCCCAGTGCTGTTGAGCTGGACCAGAATGTTCCCAGAAGGCACTTGCAGTGTCCAGGGGTGGTGGACGGAGTAGGAAACTGCCATTAGGTCCATGCGTGGTGACCGTGATGGAGAGGATCTAGGGTGGGGTGGCAGCAGGCCGGACAGGGCCGTCAGGAGGTCTGATCGGCGTGGGCCATCCAGGGGAATCATCGGAAGAGGACTTGAGTGTCTGGTGGTGGCCTGCTGGACCACAGGGCCATGTTCTGCACTCAGTTATTGCAGGGATGAGATTTCTTTTTTTTTTGTACTGGGGCTCGAACTCCAGTCCTTGTGCTTGCACAGCAGGTGGCAAAATCACTGAGCTAAATGCCCGGCCCGGGAGGGGATTTTATTGAGGAAACGATACTGCTCTGCTGTCGTTAGCTTGCTTAGTTCTGTTGTATGACCCCCCACAGCCAGGCACGGCTCACTTAGCATAGAGGCAGAAGGCAGTTTCCAAAACAATACAAGTTTCCAGTGTGCTTTAGACAATGCTTATCTGCTCAGTCTGGTCCCTGTCATTTTATCATATTCCTTGGGAACAAAAAGTGGTGTTTCAGGAATACGGTGGGAAATGCCCTAATTTTTCTGAGTGTTGATCACAGCATTCCCATGGGTCTGAACACTCTTGTAATCTTTTCATGCCTATCTTCAATTTCCCTTCCCACAGGAAGATGTGCACTAGAACCAAATTCTGTATCAACAGTACAAAGAGCAACAAAGCATCATAAGCCCTTTAATAAAAGCAAGCAAACCAAATAAAGTCTTTTTACCAGCTAGTACTCCATTGACCATACAATGCACATTTTCTTTTTCAGTTAATCTGTTGATGGATACACAGTGGAGTACTACTCAGCCATAAAGAAGGATACATTTTAGTCATTTGTCAGAAAATGGATAGATCTTGAAACCATAGTACTAAGTAAAGTCAATCAGATGGAGAAACTCAAAGTACAAATAATTTAAAGAGCCCAGTAAAAGACAGATGATAAGAAACAGGGGCGTAGACTTTGTGAAGGTAGGAAAGAGATCTGAGGATGAGGGGAGGTGGAAGGAGAGTAGGGAAAGTAAAAATGATTAAGATGCAATATGGATGTGTGTGATTCCCCATGATGAATGTATTTATTCTGTATTATAAACATATACCAATAAAAATCACTTTCCCCAAGTAGCAGAAGAGGATATGAACAGGATCACTATGAACTTCTCTATAGCAATACATGGGTTTCTAACTTATGCATAACTGAGACCCACTCCAGGCAATGGGTTGTACTGCAGCCAGTCATTGCTGGCATTGCGTGAAGGAGGCCAGTGCAGATGCCACAGGGCACCACAGCGGGAGGACAACGGCACCTCACCACACACCCAGCCATCCATTTATGGCAGCTGTCACACAGCCACATTTCCAGTGCCCTCGCTTCATAAATTTGTCATGAATATTTTAGTATCCAGATTCTCCAAATGACAGCTCTGACTGACTCAGGACGTACATATGGTTGTGGCAGGGTCCTTTGCAATAGTTATCATCAGCACTCATGCATAAGAACCCTTCTCTTACTACCTAGGACTGATGCGAGTGACTCCATTTTTAGTCTTACAACTCTGGTGCTTTCTTTATATCACTTCCTTTGAGTCTCTCTGAAGATGTAACTGATCAGTTCTCTTGTAGTCATGTTTTTATTTCTCCCCCATCACCAGAATGATTTTCTGGCTGTTGCACTCATCTGATCCCTGGTTGGAGAGGAATTGATGGGCAGTGGCTGAGAGCTGGATTAGTTCATTGCCAGAAGCCCTGGGAGCTGCAGGCTGAACAGGAAATCACCAGAATTTAGTAGGAACAGGCCAGACAGGAAATCACCTCATGGTCTGGTGGTAGCACATACACAGAGAACTCACCAGGGTCTGATAGAGGTGCTGCATACAGGAACTTGCCAGAAGGTCTGGAGGTGCCACACCAGGTAGGGAAATTGCCAGAAGCTCTGTTGGCAGAGGGCTAGACCAGGATATTGCCAGAGGAATACTCAGTGTGTACCAGCCGCCTGGTAGACCATAGCATACCACAGTGCTGAGTTGTGCACTCAGTTATTGCTGGGATGGGGTCTGAGAGAACAAACTATAGGTATGGTTGTACTTCCAGACACAGCTGATTTACCAATGGGCAGTGTTCTGGCTTGGACCTAAAATGTCTCATCAAAGTCTCATGTATTTGGAGGTGAAGATTTGGAAAGTGATTGGACCAAGGGGTGCTGTGCTTCTCAGTGGATGAATCCATGGATGAGTTCATGGTTGAATACACTCTTAGGAGAGGGGGCCAGATTGGAGGTGGCTTACCAGGGGTGTGACCAGCAAGGGTGGATTCTTGTCCCTGGCTTCTCACCTTTCTCTAACTCCTGGGTAGCGTGAGTAGAACAGCATTCCTTCACCATGCCCCTCTGCCATGCTGTTTATGCCTTGAAGGCAACCAACCTTGCACTGAATCCTCTAAAACCATGAGCTAAAGTAAACCTTTCAGTTACAGGTGTTGTATATTTTGTCCCAGTGATAGAAAGTGGTTAATACAGGCAGTTTCTGCAAACAACACCAGTTTGCTCAGTTCCCAGTGTACTTTGCTAAGCCCTGGTCAGTGTAGGATGATTGCTACAAGTGTCACTGTCTACTTCCTTACAGCATTCGGTCACTTTCCAAGAGACCTGAGAACACCAAACAAACATTTCAGGGACATGGTGTTCGATGCCCTTGTTTTTCTCAGATATGATACAAATGCAAAAGCCTTTGGAAGAAATCAAAATTTTATCCTTTCTTTGTGCTTCAGAAAGAGTTGATCTGTTTTGCTGTGCTAGGCACACTTATTAAATTAGGGGAAAGTTTAGGAAGGTAAAGGAGCAATAGTGGTGGGTACAGGAGAAGGAGCTGGATGGATCGCAGGATGGTGGAGAGAGGTAAAGGGAATCTGAAGAGGCTGAATGCCATCTCTTTGTCTCCTTGCTTACAATCCAGCCTCTCCAGGCTCTCTCAGGCTCTCTCATAACTCAGAGGGTGGCTGCTACTGGCCCCTGGAGGGTAGTAGCCAGGGATACTGCTCAACACCCTACACTTCACAGGAAAATGCTCTCCCCTCTCCCACAATAAAAGTGATCTGAACCCAAAGGTCAGTATGGCCAAGGTGGAGGATCTCTGCCCTAGGAGTGTGTGTTCCCCTGCTGAATGAGGACCTCAGAAGAGAATACATTGTCTACTTAGCTCCCAGTCTGTGTCCTAGTCTCAGCTTGGACCTTAATTTATGGTCTGCATCCTGTGAAAATAAACAAAGACTTCCCAGAGAAGAACAATTAAAGGCTATTTATTCTGAAGCTGATATAATACAGTAACAAGGGAGTCGACCGGCATCACTTGCATTTGGGGTGGACTGAAAGGCAGGCAGAGGAGTGGGGAAGATTTCTGGAGAAAGAAATGAAAGTTGTCAGGCATCTGTTGGCAAGGGAAAGCTGGAAGCACGTTCATGAGAAGTGAGGTGTCCAATGTGATTGACTAGGGGTATTTGTGGGTTTTCTGCTGTTGGTACTAAATTGGAAGTGGGGGAAGAAATTAAGGAAGTTGTCAGTTATGAATGAAGGCTCAGTCTACGTGAGGTGATCACTGCACGCGTTACTGGTTTGTTTGCTAGAGGCTGAGACACACAGTTCTATCCTTACAGATGGCCTGGCCTGGCCCTTGGGCCTGTGGATACCCAATCCTGAGCCCCTTCTGCTTGCTTCTGTAGATCAACTCCATCCTCCTGAGTTGGACATTGTGGATCCTGAGGCAGAAGCTTTGCAGCGTCAATGCCGAAGTCTCAACACTCAAAGACAGCAGGTGCAGCCCTCTGACCTCTCCTGTTCTCTAGTGTCTTCTTCCTTCTGGCAAAAGCTCCATGAGTTCCTTGGGAACACTGCATCTGTGGCTGTCCTGTCACTTTCTTGTCTCGGAGAGACAGTACCCACCACCTATTGCATAGAGCAGGACGGGTTTGCTTTGCCTCCCAGCATGTACAGGTTGCACTTCACACCTGGTCTGCACCAGGTGTGGAGGAGAGCTGCTCATGTCATGGCAGCTGGAAGCAGAGAACAGGGAGAAGCCAGGGAGGGATAGCACTTCCGGGTCACAGGGCCCCAGTGACCCAGCTCTTCCCACCTGGCCCCACCTCCTGACTTGGCAGTATCTACATTGTCCTTGTGGTCCAGTCATCTCCACAATCCCCCCTCTGAGTCCATGAGGCTTTGGGAAGACATCCAGGTATAAACTGGAACAGTGCCCAAGGCCAAGGGCTTATGAGACTGGCAAAGAATGTTGTACCTGCAAATCCGCAGCTACTGTTTATGAGCTATGTGATTTTAAGAGACATACAGAGGGGCTGGGGATTTAGCTCAGTGGTTTCATCACCTGCTGGGCAAGCACGAGGACCCCAGTTCAATCCCCGGTACCAAAAAAAAAAAAAAAAAAAGAGAGAGAGAGACATACAGGACCTCTCTGAAGCTCAGGTTCCTCATGTTTCATATTGGGATCTTAATATTTCTGGCTTTATGTGTCTTATAAAGCATTTCACACAGTTATTAGGAAACCATGAGCATTTACTAGATTGAAACTATCAAGGTATTCTTGATGAGTATTTAGACATGTGTATTTATAAGAATAAGAATTTGTTTTGTTTTATTTTTTGTTTTTTTTAGACAGGGTCTCATTATGTAGTCCAGACTGGCCTTGAACTCTTGGTGATCGGCCTGCCTTGGCCTCCCTTGGCCTCCCGAGGGCTAGAATTTCTGGTGTGTACTTCCACACCCAGCTAGAATCATATTGTTTTTAACATAAGTCCTCTTAACAATGCCACAAACACTTTCCCACGTGATTGGATATTATGGCATGTATATGTATATTTTGCCCAGCATTTCAGTATGAGGAAGCTGAACACCTTATCTAAATCATCCCCATTCATGCACACTTAAATTGTTTCAATTTTCTTTTTTTCTATTGTAAATAATACTACCTTGAATACCCCATAGGTTAATCTTTTTATACACTGGTTATTTAATTGCAGTACCACACATAACACTCCCTGAATCCAATGGTCAGTGGAATGTAATGGCTTTAGTATATTTTGCTAATTGGTTTCCAGAAAATTTGTTTCTGATTACAGTAGTGCTTTTTGGTTTTTTGCCAACACTGGAGTTGATTGTTGTTTTTCTCCTTTTTTATTTAGATTTAATATGTAAAATACACGTTCTCATCATTCCAGTTACAGATGTTTTATTTTATATTAGAGATGTAGGACTTCCTCATGTTCTTTTAGATCACTCATGCTTTTTCTCTCTGCACACAACTTGGTGCATTTTAAAAACATTCTACGGCTAGACCTTGTCTGTATTTTATTGTCAGCAGCCTGATGTTCCTTGTTTTACTCGCTGTGCATATCTAGCTTCCTATCAATTTTAAGTATTTTTCCAAAAGTTAATACAAAAATTAAAAGTTAAAGTAAAATTCATACATCTGCATGACAGAAACTGAAGCAGTAAAGTTCAACTAAGACGAAATTCCCCATTTTAATCACTGAACCATTCCAAAGTGTGCAGTTTGGTGGCTGTGAGCGCATTCAGAAGGTTTTGCAGCCACTACCATTATCTAGTTCCAGAAAGTTTTCACCACCCAAAACAGAAGGCCCACAATGCATTAGGGTGTTGGGAGCAGAACTGGGGCTTGAACCACTGAGGTGCATCACTGGGGCCTTTTTTTGTATTTTCTATTTTGAGACAAGGTCTCGCTAACTTGAACAGGGAGAGCTGGAACTGTGATCTTCCTGCCTCAGCCTCCCAGAGTGCCGGAATCACAGGCATGCATGGCCACTACTGGCTAAGCATTTCTGTCTTTCATTTGACCATCCTGTGTCTGTAGATCTGCCAACCCAAAGCAACCATTGTCACTCAAATATTCTACATGTGTACCTTTACCTATGTTATTCATAAATGATAGAATATTGTGCATAGTGTTCTCTGTTTTGCTTTGTTCTCGTGGCACCTAGCTTATTTCTTATTGCTACCTGTGGCTAATACCAGCTAACATTAATGCCTAGTTTGTACCACACACTGCTCTGACCACCTAAGCACTTTCCCATATCATCATCTAACCTGTAGAATAAGTTTATGATGTAGGCATTGTATTAATATCCCCATATCCAAATGAAGAAACTGAAGTACAGTGGGGGCAAATAACCTGCTGTGTCAGCTTCTTTTATTCATCATGAAATTTGTAGGATTCATCTATGTTGTACGTCCATCCTTGCCTTGTTCTTCATTATGGCTGAATAGTATTTCACTGAGTGGACATAACACATTTTGTTGATCCATACATTGTTTTGTGAACATTTGGGTTGCTTCTGCTTGTGGGGGAGTACAATGGGGGAATGATTGCTTAGTGACTATCCAGTTTCTGAGATAATAAAAATGACCTAGAACTATATAGTGGTGATGATTGTATGACATCAGGAATATACTCAGTGCTGCCAAATTGCACACTTTAATTAAAATGATGAACTTTATGTTAGGTGAATTTTATCTCTATGAAAGAAAGCCTTCATGATATTTTACACTATGGTTTCACCAATCATTTAATATAACTCAAATTTTTGGACACCTAGATCCTTCTAAATTTTGATTAATAAAAAAAAGAAATCATTTAACAATGCATCTTTATACCGTGTGTATCATAGGCAAACTGTATTGTAATTGTCTGCTTGATTTCCCTGCATCTGAACCTTAAAATTTGACTCTGCTCTTCTACCCACCCAGGTGGGGCACAGGATGGCAGTTCCTCTGAATGTGGCCCAGAAGGACTGTGCCACCCGACGCGTCCTCATGCTTTGTAAATCTCCCCTTCCAGGTTGCTGACCTTCAAGGCCTTTGCCCAGCTCTTCATCCTGGGCTGCACCTGGGTGTTGGGCATCTTTCAGATCGGCCCCATGGCAGGCATCATGGCATACCTGTTCACCATCATCAACAGCCTGCAAGGGGCCTTCATCTTCCTCATCCATTGCCTGCTCAACCGCCAGGTATGTGGGTGCAGCCTCCATATCCCCTCCCCAAGCATCCTCCAGACTCCCTGTGCCAGGACCATGTTCTTGCATCCAGCACTGCTGAGCTTCCTGTGGTGTCTCTGTGTCCAGGTATGAGAAGAATACAGGAGATGGCTCACCAGGAAAACCACACCCGGTTCCCAGTCCCAGACCTCAGGGGTGCTGCTGTCCTCCACACCCTCCTCTTCCAAGATGGCAAAGGACTGTGTGTCTTCCACAGACTGTGCTCCGAAGGAATGCTTGTCATGCGGCAACACTCCACACGGCCAAGTCTCCTGGGAGACATCGGTGGGCACTTAGTGACTCATTGCGTCAGGTGTGGGGATGGAGCTGGGCAGCCTGGCCGTAAACCCCAGCTCTTTGCCTTCTTAGTTACACAATCCCCAAAAAGAAAATATCATAACTCACATGGGTATAAAATGAACATATGGTAAGGATTTTACTCTATGCATTAATCAGTGAGGGTACCAGGTGGATGTTAGAACTGGCTCCTAAGAGAATGCTAAGAATTTCTGTGTGTTAGATATACATTATTTCTATATATACTTTGCTGTATATACATCATGTGATTGAACTGAGATATATTTTTTCAAAAAACAAAGATCTCCCAGGGATTTAGCTCAGTGGTACTGCCACGCGCCTCACAAGCACAAAGTCCCCAGTTCAGTTCCTCGTACCAAAACCCATAGAACTATAATATGCATTATATACTATATGTTATATATTCTATATTACATACTTTTCATATATGTATATAGTGTATATGTTATATACGATATATAACTACACACTTCCAGCTCTTTTTTTGGTGGTGTGGGAGATGGAATTCATGGGCTCATGCATGCTAGGCGACTGCCATGCCACTGACTACACCCTGAGCCCTAATATATTGTCAATGGCAATGATATTCCAGGAGTAGACCCTTATGTTTAGAAACCAACTGTAAGACTAACACCAACAACGAAAGTTGAGATTATCCATTTTCACACCACATAAACCACCACCTCATAAATACTTCTGGGTATACATCACTGAGATTTAGTGGCTTGATGATATGGAGAACTATTTTTCTTGCAAGTAGAGGTGGGGAGCAATAGGTGTTGCTCTTAGTGCTTCTGTTTCTCAGCAGTGTGGTAAAAGATCCAGGGTGTCTGGACTGGGAGGGTGAATCTTAGTGGTACAGGAAATGCTTTCGCCTATGTGAGGCTTGGGATTCCATGCTCACCACCAAGAAAAGAAAAGAATATTGAAGCTGCTCCTTGCTTTCCATGTACTCATCAGAAGGTCAACTTTTCATGTTATTTTCATTATGGTAAAGTGGCCCCCAGAACTCCAAACAGCATGACCATGACCTTGTTCAAGGAAAGAAAAAGTGGGATGGAGTAGAAGCAGCCAATTCTCCTTACATACTTCTCTCTTAACAAGACACAAACTTTCCCAGAGCGCTGCGGAAGTTTTCTTTTCACTTAGTCAGAACTAAATAAAATGCCCGCTCCTTCTTACAGTGAATCTGAAAAAAAACAGTGTTTGTTTTTCAGATAGAATAGGAGCTTTTAATGGTAAAGTGGCTGGGAATGGCTTCTGAGTTTTCCAACAAGGCCTGCTAAACTGGAGACAATCACTTAATATTTTCATATTTATCTTTCTTGTCTTTGTTAATATATTTACATCTGTGTATTCCTGAGACCCATGCTTCTGGAGATGTGACCTTTGCATTTACTGTTGTAGCTTCAGACTCCGAAGAGATTCTGTTTTCTCTCTTCCAGACTTAAAGTGCTTGCTTGCTTTCAAACATACTATTATGGAGCAATATTTGAAAATTACAAGCACCTTCAGAAGCCAACTCTGAAATCTTCTCTTCATGGCTTATTGTGGAAAAGGAAGACTCTACCAGCTCTAGAACTCTCTGCACAATTCACAGCACGGGTGGGTAGGGATGAGAGTTTCATGCGCTGGAGAGAAACAAAAGTTTCTTCCCTAAATTGCTGTGTTATCTTCTGCAGTTTGCAACTCTCTGGATTTCCGGAGTTCTTGAAAAGAGCATATCCCAGCTCAGTGATGTGACTGAGAACACACAGCCGCCATTTTGTTTCCTGGCGCCTGGCCCCAAATATGTCCTCCAGCTGCTATCACTGACACAGAAAAGATCTCAATAAATGATTTGACATCTGCCTGAGTGAATTACTATCAAAGACACTTCCTATCTTTAAAGAAATAATCAGTACAATGTTAAGACTTGTTACACAGACAGAAACTACTTTGGTACAGTCACTTAAAAGGATTACATTGTTAAGTGGGAGCACTTCCGGGAGCAAATTGCTAGCATTTTCTGTAGCACTGAAACACTCAAGGACAACATCCTTTGGAACATGCTCTGGTTGCTTGGAGTTTTCAAGTAATCAACTCCTTCCTAGTTTTTCAGAACTTGGTTATGACTTGAGTGGGATTTGCTGTGCCCACACCCTTCCCTATACTTTCTCCTCCTACTTTAACTCTGGGCTCAGATTTATACTTGCTTTGACCAATGCATTGTTAGCAAATGATATTCAACAGAAACTCAAAATTGGTAGGATTTCCTTCTTGCCATTGAAATGTTTAAGTGTGCTTACTCTTGCTTTCTTTCCTCTGCCATGAGAATCTGCTCAAACTCACCTGTAAGAAGTATGTATAACACATGGAGGAGAAGCAGGAATTCAAGTTAAGCACATTGTGGTCACCTCAAGCAACCACTTTGCCAATCTGTAGTTGACTCTAGTCACACAAGGGAACTCACTAACATCAGCAGACCCAAGGACGTGCCTCATGTACTCTGGAACAACAATATCACTATTTTAAATATCACTATTATTTAAATATCACTATTTAAATAATTATTTAAATATCACTATTTTAAGACACAATTTCCATGATGGTTTGTTATGAGGCATCATATGTGTGAATTCCTAAGGGATACAACAACGAATTGTCAATGTTTTGCATTTGATCAAAACAATGTAAAAAATTTAAAAATCATTCCTCTGATATGTCAGGATCATAAATTCTGTAGTACTAAAATAATGTCCTTTGTGATAGAGGAATTTCAGGAGGCTTTGTCTTAGTCTACCTTGGTGCTACAAACTAGTCTTAAATATAGTCACTTAGGGCCTATATATTGAAGGTAAGTGGATAAACTGTGACATTTATTTTTAAATGTTGGAAATATTTAATTGTATAGATTTATGGGACACAGTGTGATAATAGGATCCATGTTTATACTGTGTCATGATCAAATCAGAGGTCATACTTAGGATTTCCCTTTTCTTAAATGTAAAATATCTTCATTAACACATAATAATTGTACATATTTATAGGGTACAGTGTAATAGTTCAAAGCCTGTGTACGATATGTATTGCACAAATAAGGATAATTAATATAGTCATCTCATGGTTACTCTGTGTCTGCTGTTTTCAAGCTTCTCTCTCCTAGTTATTCAGATAATATATAATGGTTGATTGTGAACTATAGTCACCCCTCTGTGCTGTGGGGCACTAGAATTTATTATTTCTACATATTTGGGTCCCTGTCATTCAACTTCTCTTTGTTCCCCTCCCTATAGCAATCACTATTATATACACTGATTGACGTATTTTAACATCCACATCTAAGAGAAAGCTTGCCTTATTTCTCTTTGAATGCATAGTTCATTCAACATAAAGACCTTCACTGCCATATATGTTGTAAAAATGGCAGGATATTATTATTTTATGGATAAATAATAAGCAGCTGTGTACATGTATCACATTTCCAATCAACTCACAGGTCCACCAATAGATAAATGAATTAATGCTTCTTACTATAAATACCAAGCCACTCTTGGTAGATTCCTATCATCCTTGTTTTCTCATTTGGCACCACTAGAGGGGGAAAGAGACATAAAACTGGCAACGTTTCTGATATCTAATAAAACAGTGGGGAATAACTTTCCTTCTTACAATCCAAATAATTTGTGGTGTCCAAGAAAACTACAGAGTTATTTACTCAAGAAACACTTATTGGGTCTTCAGGCACCGAAACGTTCATGAGGCTCCATATAGAGTAAAGGAGATGAGCCGCGTAGGTGCCAACAGCACACCCACCCCCCACTGAAATGAGAAGACTCATAAACAAGTCTCACAACAAGACTTCCAGATCACCTACAGCAACCCCAAAAGGAAATGAGATAGAACACTCTGATACTCAACCACCTGGACTCCCTCAATGGGCAGCAAAAGAGGATCTGGAAAAAATGAAATCAGAAATAATTTCTCAGGTAAGAGCAGAGACTGTGCTCATAGTGTAAGTCATGATTAATAAATCTAGAGAGCAGCTGAGGAACATGATGGAATCCCAACATAGGAAACAAATGGAATCCATCAAACAGATACAAACAGATTTCCAGGAGATTAAAAACTTCATTGAAAGTCTACACATCAGAATGAGCTAATGTGAGGACAGAATTTCAGATATAGAAGATAAGATTGTGAGAAATCAATCCAGCAGCTGCTAGACAATGCAAAGAAGAATAACATAAGACTGACTGGAGTCAAGGAAGAAAGAGGAGAGAGTG